TCCTAATGACTCTGGTCTGATAGCCAGCAACTGTATGTGGTTGTTGTTACCTTAACACGTCCGAAACGAAAACTGCTATATTTTGAGTCACGTGTTGGCCCCCAAAAAAGGTATGCGTCATTCACGGACCCTGTTAATATCATCCACAGTTATCTGTCAAGCAGCGTTTGTTTTGACGAGCGACTATGGAACTGGTTAACATCATTCACACCTATCTGTCAAACAGCGGACCAGGTAGGAGATGGGCGTAGAAGGGAAGGTTCTTTCCCGAGAACTGGCCCCGACTCATCTGGTTATAAAAACAATATATATCTCACAATCTGCATATTTAAGAAATAAAAAAAATTAAGATTCATATGTTTCGTCGCAAATACAAAAGGTACTGAAAATGTACTTATAAAATCTGAGGTGAGGGTACAAATATGGGGTTAACGTAACATCTGTGTATATTGATCCATGTATTTTGTTCGTTTTGCTTTTCACTCCTTCCTTCTTGGGCATACACAGATATTACTTGCCTGTCTCTCCCTGTCTCTCTTTCTCTCTAAGATGCAGTGAATCTTCTTTTCTTTTTCTTTGCCATCGCTCCGGATTGGCAGTTGAGTATATTTTTTCTGTTAAGAAAGCCAGTCCTTTGCTTTTTTTAAATTCGTTTATGTTGACATGTTAATCTTTTTAACATTTGTTTGCAAAAAACACCACCATGCTGGTTAAAGCTATCATGATTGGTTAATTAGCAAACCACGCCACATTTCGGCGCCCTTTTTCATCGAAACATCACCATATTGAATTCTACTTAGCAACACAGCACTTTGATTTGAATTCCCGCCAATTTCTGAATTTACTTAACGACATGCCTCGTTCGGCATCTTCATTCAGCACGCCGCCATTTTTGGATTTTTAATTACCAATCCCAAATCACTTTATTCAAGTGATTTCATTTAAGTTTAACTTTTCCTTTCATCAAGGACTATAATAAACATGAACATTTCCAAAGACTTGCCACTTGCATGTGATTACCTTTCTCCTTTTCAGGACTGTTAATCTAACCACATTTGCGTATCTATACATTCACACTTTCGAACATTTTTTATGTTTTTTTAATATTTCACCCCTTATCAGGTGGTGACTCCTTTCAGTTCTTACAAATCAACAAATGTACATAATTGTAATTAAGTTGTTAGTTTTGCCAATAATAAAACTTTAGCCTTTTTATTAAGAACTCTGCCCTTGTAACTTACTTTTTGGTGTCAATATCTTCCTGTACATTCCTTATATTTTATTTTAAGTGGCAACCCCTCTGTTGATTGCTACTTATTATTAAACTCAAAAATATCATGTAACTAAAAAATGCTTCTAATGTAGTATAAAAAAAATAAAATTATCGTATTTGCCGGTCCATTGGATGCACACACGCATTGGACGAACTCAGATTTAGGTATGGAATATTTAGGGTAAAATTTTGACTCCTGCTCACGACTCTTCAGGAGTAGGCTGATCCTTCATAGCCATCTTCGTTACCGCCACTAGGGTGTTGGGGAGAAAAGGAATGAGAGGGGATGACGATTTCTCTTCAAAACATACCTCATCATGACAGATACAAGGAAAAGAAATATGAGAAAATGAGTAAACAAAATGATCTATCCACTACAACCTTTCTTTTTCCAATATTCATGCTATCCGCTCCAACTGCTGCAGTGTAAAATCTTTTTCCTTGAAAGAGTTTCCAGGTATCTTCGCATTTTGTGAAACTAAATAAAATTCTTCTATTGCTACCAATGAATTCTCTGTTCCAGTCTATCTTCCTTTTTGCCGAAAAGATTCTAGCATACATATGCATGGTCTTGTTATTTATATCTGGATAATCTTCCAATAGCAAGTCCACATATTTCTTTCACGTGCTTTCGACTTTCGTTATTGCACCATGTTAGCTATTTCGTTTTCTTTTAGAGTTTTCCATCTTCTTAGAACTGTAGTATATTAGACAGAATTTCTGACATTACAGAAATATATCTCTCTCCGCTAATCTGCGAATATTTTTGTGTCAAATAACAGATTTCTCTGCTCGTTTCCCGAATAAATCTGATCAACATTCTTCTTTACTTATCCCTAGTTGAGCATCACAACTCTGTCCTCTTGGCAATTCGGATCAAGCTGTAGTATCTGTTTATATTTCTTTTGAGTTATCTGTTAGAAAGGAATCTCCTACTGACAAAACTTCTTTCTGTTACCAGCGTACTGATTGGGATTTATTTCGTAACTTTATTCGAGACGCCCCATTGATTTATTTTCTTAACCTTGTTATTGAGAATTGCGCTACAGAGGTTTCTTCTTGGGTTAAACACAACATTGATACTTTTCTACCTTCTTGCAAACACCAGATGAAACCACAATCTTCTCTTTGGTTCACACCAGCCTGTTCAGCTGCTATAGCCCACAGGAATTAATTTTCCTGAGTGTACCAGTTTGATAATTCTGATCACAATAGGCACTTATTTGTGACTGATCGAAATAATTTTAAAGAGGATAAGTCTTTGTTTGCTGACAGAATAAGGCACCGTATAGACTTTGAAAGTTTTGTTCTTGTAGTGTCTTTTATCTTTTCTCTCTTCACTTAATTTAAAGTGTTAATATCTCCTGCTGATAAAGTAGAATGTTTTGCTCGTAAATTCTCTTCCAATTCTACTCTTGACTCATCTGGAATATCTTCGACTTTCCACTTAGAACCTTGTGTCTATTGAGTGATATGCAACGTCCATGGTTTTCTACTATAATATCTAAACTGGATCCACACAAAGTATGTAGACTTGATGGTATATCTATAATAGTCCTCAAGAAATGTGCTCCTGAATTAGATCCTTTTATAGTTAAGCTTTTTATAAACCATCTTTATAAAGGGTAACTGTGTGTTTGTCAAACGAGAATAAAAAAAAAAAAAACACAAGTTGGCACTCTGATGACTGGATAACTAACTTTTATTTCAAGATTTTTGGCGCCTGCCAGTGTGTATGCGCATGTCAGTATTTGTGTGATGATGACCAGGATATTGATGAGGAAACAGCTCCTGTTCTTCTCTCTAAACGTTAAAATAAATGACTTGCTGGTTTTTTGCTTGTTGGAAATCTTCTGTATTTTCAATTGTTAAGAACTAAAGCAAACCATCTAATCCTTCTATCGGTATATGAGCCTCCTACCTCATTTGAAGAAAGTACTAGACGCCTTCATCACCTTAGATGTTGGTTACCCATTTCACATCGCAGGGTCTTCTTTCATACATGACTTTCACTTCTCTAGGTCAATTGTTGATGTATTAACAATTATTATTGAAAGAGTATATCATGCCTTAGATAAGAATGGTGAAATTTGAGCTGTTGCTTTGGAGATTCTAAAATGTTCGACAGGTCTTCTTCACAAGTTAAAAGGTTACGGTATTTCTGGACAAATTTTGGAACTGATTCAGTCTTTCTTATCAAATTGCAGAATGAAAGTTGTCTTGAATGGCCACTCTTCTAGATCTTTTTATACTAATGCAGGTTGGAAAAGCTTACTCCAATTCAGTGACCCTCCCTCAATATTTAAAAAAAATTTCTCAGGTTATATATGGATAATAGGCTTTGATGAGAGGTTTGTCTGTGTGTGTGTATATATATATATATATATATATATATTACATGAATCATTCATATAAATAACAGATATAGAAGTTAATGATTTAAATAGTGAGAATACATCTTTGCAAACAATTTTGATAAAGTATACTAACCTCGAACCTGTATATGAATGATATGATCCCTGTTTATAAATTCCAGTTGCATAAGGTCTTTTTAGTTTTTTTACAATCTTTCGTCTGTTCCTACAGGCATCTTCAGGTATGGAAATAGATTTGTTCTTGTTTTTTTACTTCTCGGTAATAACTGCACACCTCCCCACTTCAAAAAAAATTTTCTAACAATTAACAATAACACATTTCTAAAAACATTTTTTTTGATTACATCTATATTTTCGTTGTCCTTACCAAGAAGTAAAAAACAAAAACAAATCTTCCATGGAGTCAAATCAATCTCATTTCCACCATATTCAAAATCTAAGGAGACAGTTCCACAACAGAAAAAGACTTTGTTTCATTAGACATTTTTTCACGGCAGAGGCTGTAGTCAATTATCAAAATGATAGGTTTTACACTACTTCACCAGGAAACATTCCTGAATGTGTTGAGACACATTCCAAGCAATAGAAACCAACTGATGCCATGGTATGGGCTGCTGTTTCTTTTGATGGTACAAAATCGCCACTGGGTGTTTATGGAAGGTATGAAAAGGAAAATCAGAATTTACCATCAACTCTGTTGAGAGGAGACATGTTGTCAGCCATATTTAGAAGTTGCTATGTCCATGGCAAATGTTTTTAGTTCCACCAGTTCAGACCTAAGTACATGCTTTGCTGCTTCCATGGAGTTGAATCACCTATATTTCCTATGTATTCCAATTGCAAGAAGGAAGTTCTACTCAGGCAGAAAAGTTCCTTAAACTCTACAATCTTAACCTCATCAAGTCAAGGGTCAATCGTTATCTATCCACAATATTTTCATGAGCTTCACCTCCTCCTTCATTTATATCAAACACCTCATTTGTCATTATCATTTCTTAGCAGTAACGCTCTTCCTTGACTGGCTCTCGAGCCTAGTATAGAATTGGTCTGAAAGAAAGTAAAGCTTTAAAGTTCCTGGGGAAAACTGAGAAACAAGCAGCTTTTAAATTGGTTTATTTTTATATGTTGATAAAAAAAGAAAAAGATGAGTAAAATTGAATTTGTTTTATTTGTCAGTCAACCACTTTTCAAATTGCTTGATTAAAAAATTCAACAAAGAAAATAAAGGGGTGTAAAAACAAAAATAAAATTTTCTCTTGCATTTATTTGTAGAAAAATAATTTAATGAATTTTAGTTTTTTTTTACAAAGAAATCATCTGTACTGTTGTCGGACGAATTTGTAAACACAGACTGCACGTTCGGATGACATCTTGGAACGGGAAACAATCAACGGGACGGAACTAAATTAGAAAAAAGAAAAAGGGAAAAAAATCAGTCAAAAGCAGATATTAATGATCATATAAATTAAGAACAAATTATAATTTGCTAAGCATAGCTGAGGTCAGGTCAGGCCTGCTACTGGTAATGTGTAACCAAGTACAACCTGCCACATGGACGGCTGTTTTTTGGGGTTTTTTTTTCAATCATTTCACCCCAAGCAAGGCAATAAAGCCAATAAAGCCACTAGGACAGAGAGGACAATAAAGAAGAAAAAAGACAGAAGATAAGGATTGACATTGCATTTAAATGTTTGAGGACAATAAAAGAAGAAATAATTAAGAAGAGGACAATAAAGAAGAAGAATAAGACAGAAGATAATGATTGACATTGCATTTAAATGTTTGAAGATCAAAGGCAATAAAGCCACTAGGATGCAATGGGTTACTGAGTGTTAGAGAATATGAGAAAAACTACTATTAAGGAGAGAGGACAATAAAAAAAGAAGAATTATGAAGACAGAAGATAACGATTGACATTACATTTAAATGTTTGAAGATCAAAGTTGACTGAAAGCAAAAAGCCCGGGGAGAGTTCCACAAGCAAGAAGTGCAAGAGATGAAACTGTTAGCAAAGAACTTATGGTTACATCTAATCATTTCAATCGTAAAATGATGAGACCTTACAGCCAATCTAATACTGTGCTTAAATTCATAAAATTGAGGAACCATAGCAGAAAGTTCATCACAACAATTATCATGAAAGTATTTATAAAAAAAGGCAATGGGAATCTACGTTATGGTGGTGGAAAAGATGCCAGGTCAGGACCAATGATATCACAGATTGTTCTTTGTATTTTATCAAAGATTAGCAGTAGAGCCCGGTGTTGCCTGGGGATGTAACAGTAAGAGATAGATCAAGTATCAACCATCATAAAGACTGAAAAATAAAATTGACAAAGATTATTGTTTAAGGTTGACGGACACGCATGTCTTAATTAGTTTTTTTTTTTTTTTTTTTACAAATTGGTCAAACCCAAACTCAAAGAAAAACATTGTTTTCAATCATTATGAGCCTATCGATTGGATAGAATTTTATTATAAACAATTGTCTTGTAAATGGAATTTTTAAAGCATTCTGAATGTAAAAATAAAGAAAAAAGTGTGCAAGACAATAAGAAACGCTACTTGCCAAGAAAAAAAAAAAAAGTTTTGTTGAAATCGGTTGAAAAATGTAGGAAATCCGATCCCATATATAAATGAACACACACACACAAACAACCTGGGTTTTATAAGTAATTGTCCCCCTTTCATTCTCGCAATGCCTCTTAATCGTGTTTTCAAATTGATTTCATGCAAAAACAATTGTTTTTCCAATTTTTGGCGCTGTCAGAACCACCGCAAGGTAATTTTACGTAGTCCCGTGAGCTTTGTTGAAAATGGTTGAAAAATGTAGGAAATCTGATCCAATATATAAACGTAGACACACACACATACACACAATCTGGGTTTTATAATAAGTATGATCTCTAAATATAGCAGGAGCACCAGACCAGGTGTGGCAGTAATATTCAAAGCAAGAACAAATAATAAACTTACAAATATATAAGATAAATTCTGGCAAGAAAAAACTGTGTAGCACAACAAAGTAAAACCAACTTTCTTTGCTGCAAGCTTAAATGATTCAATATACTCTTTGCAGTTCATGTCAGCTGAAAATATTAGTCTGAGAAGGTGCAACGAGTCACTCTCCTGAAGGTTAGCATCAGCTATGCTGATGGAAGATAAAAACAATTCTCTTAAATGATTAAAAGGGAGCAGTTTTGTTTTTGAGGTGTTAGAATTAACAAGTCACTCCTTGCCCCAGTTAACAAAAAATTGTAGGTCATTCTTCAGAACAGCTGTCAATTCGACTTTATGAGACCGATCACGTTATTAAGACAGGAGTAAATAGTTGTGTCATCAGGATAGAACTGGTGACATCAGGAAGGTCATTTATGAAAATCAAAAACACTGTAGGTCCAAGGATATAGACCTGGGGAACACCTGCATTCATACAAAAAGATCTAGAAGAGTGGCCATTCAAGATAACTTTCATTTCATGATTTAATTAGAAAGACTGAATCGGTTCAAAAATTTGTCCAGAAATACCCTAACCTTTCAACTTGTGAAGAAGACAGCATGCTAAACCCTGTCAAATGCCTTCGAGATATCCAAAGCAACAGCCTAAGCTTCATCATTTTTCTCTAAAGCTTGATAGACTCTTTCAGCAATAACTGTTAATACATCAGCAGTTGACCTAGAGAAGCAAAAGCCATACTGCTTATCTGAAAGAAGGCCCTGCGGAGTGAGATGCTTAACCAATTCAGAGTTAATTAGAGCTTCTAGTACTTTGCCAAAAAGAGGTAAAAGGGAATTAGACAGATAATTCGAAAGATGAGATGGTTCACCTGAGTTCTTAAAGACTGAATCTACAGAAGAGGATTGCCAACAAACAGGAATGCAAGAAGCAGCAAGACATTTATTGTAGAGTTTAGACAGAAAAAAAGCCAGTTCAGGAGCACATTTCTTAAGGATTATTGCAGGGATACCGTCATATCCACATGCTTTGAGATGGTAGCAGAAACCATGGACAGAGTTATATGCATATCACTCAATAGACACAAGGTTCTAAGTGGAAAGTCAGGCAAAGATACTACAGATGAGTCTTGAGTAGAATTGGAAGAGAATTTAAAAGCAAAACATTCTACTTTATTGGCAGAAGATATTAACACCTCAAATTGGGTGAAGAGAAGAGAGATAGAAGACTTATTCTTATTTAACACACTATTACACAGCCGCCAGTAGTCACAGGAAGCAAACTTGTTAGTGGTTATATGCTGCCTCATTCCATCAGCAAGGTTGGTTGTTGTTTAAACAATCCCTTCCACTAGCTTTTCTGCTGCTGGTGAGGAGGGTGGCAGGATGCAAAATAAGACTTGTTAAAGGGAGGATAAGCTTCTTATAGGAGGTAACTGAGAACATTTTACATATATTAATAATTACACATATACCTACACTTTACTACACTGAGCACAGTTTTGTCTATATCATTGATTAAATAGTTATTTGCTTACTTGTATATGTACATAATCATATATATGGTTGAAGGTATCTCTTTATTTAGATCACATATATATATATATATATATTATATATATGTTATAGTGGAACACACCTATTCTATAGTTAATAGACTCTCCCACCTATAATAAGTAGGAGTAGTAGGAGTCGCTCAGGGAGTTGGTTAGTTGGATATTAAAGTATCAGCCACCACAACTAGATTACTGCGTCAAAGGCAATAAAGTTATATCAAGTTCCTAACGTTTTGTACGTCGAACCTATTTTAGGACCGACTTAGTACAAATACAAGCCTCCACTGTGAAACCACTCTACAACAATATAAAAACATACAGAGGAATCCCTCAATCAGTGTGGCTAATATGTAGATCAGTAACTATAAAAAATCAATTTTCAATTAGTATGGTTAAACTAAAGAATGTTTTATCGCACTAATCAAGTCTTATATATGCATTAATCAAATTCTGGTACATAAAAATTTTAGAGCACTAATCAAAAACTCATTAATCAAATGCGCATTAATCAAGAGGTGTCTATAATTCATTTTATATGCATATAATGCACTCCAGAATGCCTATTCAGTGATGGCTGTTCTGGGATAGAAAGTTTCAGGCCTTCATGACATCAGATTTTGTCTCCCATGGGCCAAACCAAGAGCATTCATTTCTTGACTAGCATTCTGGCATAACTTCCACATGATTGCAAGAATTATAACCACAAATATGTGCCTATGCAAATGAGATTCTTTTATTCAATCCTATGCATGAATTCTGACCAATCAGGATTTGTTTATTTTTGACGATTGCTGTTTTGGCCAATCAGATACCATTTAGCTGTTAACCATTATTCAAAGTATACATTCAGAATACCTATGCAGTAAATTAAAGAATTCAATGTCCAGACTATCTAGTCAGAGCAAAAAATACTTCACTTTATTATTTATTTATATATTTATATATATATATATATATATATACATACATGTTTGAGAACCCATCCTTGCCTTATATATATATATATATATATATATATATATATATATATATATATATATATATATCTTACTTATTATAAAATGCAAATTGTGTGTGTCTGTACGTTTATAGACTGGACCGAATTTCCTACATTTTCAAACCGATTTCAACAAAAACTTCACTTTTTTTTTGGCAGGTAGTGTTTCTTATTGTCTTGCACACTTTTTTCTTTATTTTTTACATTCAGAATGCTTTAAAAATTCCATTTACAACACAATTGTTTATAATAAAATTCTATTCAATCGATAGACTCATAACGATTGAAAACAATGTTTTTGTTTCAGTTTGGGTTTGACCAATTCGTAAAAAAAAACAAAAAAACTAATTAAGACACACACGTCCGTCAACCTTAAACAATAATCTTTGTCAATTTTATTTTTCAGTCTTTACGATGGTCGATACTTATCTATCTCTTACTGTTACATCCCCCAGGCAATGCCAGGCTCTCCTACTAGTATATATATATATATATATATATATATATATATATATATACAAGGCTAGAATTGGGTGTCATGCCTTGAAATGGCAACTTTCCTAAAGATGGTATCTCGATAAAAACACTTAGTCCATTCTGATAAAACCTTGCCCTAAATTATTATGACAACCAACCCTCTTTCAGGCAGGACTCACCTTGCTTGATGCAAGATTGATCGTGGTTCTGCTTCAACAAAAAAAAAAAACATGTCTATATATATATATATATATATATATATATATATATATATATGTTGAGATTTGAATCAACTGACAACAAAGAAAAAGGTGAGAAAGGTTTTTAAATATAAAAATATAATATTTTTATTTTTGTGTTTGTACAACTCAATTTTTCTTAGTGCACATGAGTGTTAAGTTCTTTAAGTCCTTGTTTGTAGCTGTTTGTTAAGAGGAAAAGAAATGAGATTTCTTCATTTGCATATGTGAGAAAAAAAAAAAAGACGAGGAAAGTAAGTGTCAAGTAGCTTGGTGAGGAAGAGTGTAAGAAGACAATGAGTAAGGGAATCTCTTTGAAGCTAGCATCGTGAACAGATGTTGCATGTCTGTCTCCTTACTTATTTTGTCAGTCTAGAGACTTTACTTAAATACTCTTCAAAGGGATCACGAAGCATGTTTTCTACTGTCAGCAGGAATGTGACCCATTAGTTGAAAAATGTTCAATATTTCTTTTCAAAAGATTAATTTATTAGCTGGAAGGATGCCCAGATCATCAGGCCCAGAAACCATTTTTTGGTCATTTAATGTTTAACAGTCTTGGCGTTTATTTGTGTCTCCATTCCACAGATTTAGCAAGGCTACAAATAACCAGCGATGATCAAACTCCTTATTCAGCCATAATTGATCTTGCAAGACAAGTATTCTAACCATGTCAAACTAATTTGGTTAAAATTAATGTCATTGGTAATTAATTTTTCAGGGGAAAAGTAACCAAAAACTTAATTTGTGATTAATCAAATCAACACCTGTAGATATTGCCAAATCCACAGATAAGAATTAGTACCAGAAAATTCTTAATATAAAATTCATTACCACACTCCATAACTGAGTTGGTGGATTTTGTGACACAGAAAAAACTAAAAAGCCTTATCAGGAGTAAATAATTTAACCAATGATGTAAAAACAGAGATATTTTTTAAAAAATGGGAAGAGGAAATTGGACAAGTGCGCACTTTCTTCCCCAGGTTTTGGCGAACACTGATGAGATTGAGGATTGAAATGCAACATAGGGTGACCATTGACCAGTCAGTAGAAATCTATTTTGGGATTGTAAGAAGTTTTTGGAGATAATAACAATTTATTGATACAAATCTTACAATTTAACTAGGGGGAGAGATGGAGTCATTCCTTTCCCAATGTTATTTGTGTATAAGTGAATGTAATGATCCTGAGTGGAATTGAAACTTGACTCTCTGATGTCCAGTTCTAAGTCATTATCAACTACACTACTGCACATTCAAGCTTGCAGCACCTGATATTCCAAAGTGGTCACCTATCTAGGTACACCACCAAGCATGACATTGCTTAACTTCGGTGATCAGACACCAAAAATAAAAAATTCAAAACTCACCTTTGAAGAAATTCTTGGATATTCTTATAATTCTTGCACAGATTCAGTGCTAAAGCATGATTCACTTTGGGGAGACTCAAAAAGAATTTCATTTTCTGTTGAAAGAGAAACACATTTTATACATTAAGATTGAATTTCAAAACAAATTCTAGAAATTCTAGTACAATTTCTAAAACATTCTAGAAATTCTAGTACAATTTCTAAAACATTCTAGAAATTCTAGTACAAATTCTAGAACAAATTATAAAACAATTTTTTTTAAAAAGATTTTTTCAAGTGAAACATTTTGGTTTCTCTTTTGAGCATTTTACATCAACCTTTTAACATTTATTTTTTTTTAACCCCAAGCAAGGCAATAATGCCACTAAAACACTAGGGATGGGGCACTGGAAGTGAAAGAGAATGAAAAGTAAAGTTTCTCTATGGTGGTTAAATGAGAGCAGTTTAGTTTTGGAGGCATTATTGTAGCATTAAAGAAAATAATGAAAAACACAATTTTTTTGAAGAGGTCCTCACTCAGGCTGAGAACTTTAAAAGCATCTCTGGAATTGTTATAGTGGAACACACATATTCTATAGTTAATAGACTCTACCACCTATAATAAGTAGGAGTAGTAAGAGTAACAGGTCAGTCGGTGAGTGAGTCGATGTCGGACAACAGTTAGTCGAATACTGAAGTATCTGCGACCACAACTAGATTACTCTGTGTTATACCTATTATATCAAGTTCCTAACGTTTTGTACGTCGAACCTATTTTAGGACCGACTTAGTACAAATACAAGCCTCCACTGTGAAATCACTCCACAACAGGAATGGTCACTGAAATGGTGGTTACAAAATTTGAGCAGATGACCAAAAGGAGCAACAGACTACTTACCTGTTGTTCTGTATCACTCAAGGTTTGATTCCTACAGATGGCCATACCTTTGACATTCTCTTGAAAGCACAAACTGGCCAACAAGCCACATGTCTCAACTAGATGCAAAGAAGGAAAAAGAAAACAAAAATTGGTATAACATCCCAACAAGCAAGTCCATAGTTATTGTCTGGATTTTGTAAGACATTTTCATCATCAGTCACTGTTACCATCTGTGACAGATTGTGAATTTATTCTTGCCATTTATTACAGGGTTGTTTAATTTAAATCAAATGATTTTTAAAAAAATGGAGGAAGTTTCTAGACTATTGAAAAGTATACATAAGAAGATCAAAGAAAGGATTAAGAGGTCTATAAACTATTCTAAAAGTCCATCATTCTGGTCAGGAGTAAGTGATATATAAATGGTTAGAGACAATGAAAACTATTTCTGAGCAAATAAATGATATTTACATTGCTAGTAATACTGAAGAATCATAGACTAGATTATGCTTTTAAATAATTTTGATGTGATGCAGTAGAGTATTAGCTAAGTGAAAGAATTAAAAAAAAAAAAATGATGATAGTGCTTCCATTAAGGTAGAAGTAGCCTCTAATTCTGGTATGTGTTCTTTCGCTCCCAAACTTAATTGCTCAAAATTTACAGATAAAAACTGAAGACAAGTTTGCCTTCAAAAACTTTCTTACACAATTTGAAAGGCCGTCAAGTTACAATAGCCAAGAGGATATCTAGCAGATTGCGTCTTGCAGATTATCCAACATTTTTAACCATTACCAATAAAAATTGTTAAAAGAGGAATATTGGGATCACGAGTATATTGTGAATGAAATATTAAGGCAAATAAGTGAAAATAAGCCTGTGTTGGACTCGAAATTCGAGGGTATCATACAGTATTTGACCAAAATTAGAGCAGATTTGTTAGAGTTGAAAAAGTAAATTTCCTTGAGGATAACTCTCCAGGAAATAAATACTATTTTTTCCAGGTTGCTCAATGTTTTGAAAAAGGAAATTATTTGTATTGTAGAAACTATACTTCACTGAGGCATATTTTTGACAACTATAGCAATGTGGTCAAAACTCTTGCTATAAAGAAGAACTCGAATACGGATATGGAATAACACAGATATATGACAAACAGGAATATATACAGAGAAGAAGAAAGGGTTAGTATGAACAATCAGGTTTAGTAGTAATTGTCTGAACACAACTCTGTTTCGGACTGCCTCTGACTCGGCTGACTGACTCCTGACGGACTTTACTCCAGACTAAACTCTAGACTTCAGACAGAACTTCGAATTCCCTGCTTCCTCTTGAGGCGCAGTATTTATTACGTATGGAATAGTTCATTATGTTATTATGGGTAAGGTCCCATCACATATATACTCATATCAATTTCGTTTATTTGGTGAAGCCCCAAATTTTCACTTATAAAAATGATTTTTATCATCTATCTTGTGTATCATGTGAGTTCCTTTTTTTGAGAGACCAAATTACAATAGACTAACCTCTTTTTCTCTATCTCTTTATTCCATTTTCTAGTTAAATTAAAAAAGTAAGATAGGATGATAAAAAATAACTTTATCAGTGTTATACTTGTAGCGTAAATGTGTACAGCCATAAACAACCAAACAAGAAAAAACTAAACATCTTATAAACATAAAAGATGGAAAAGATGCATATTCACTATGTTTGTATTTTATAATACGATACTAATATGTGAATATTACACACATTCTTATTGAATACAGTTAAGTAAAATATCTGTTTTATCAAAACCAGGCTTATTTTAAATACAGCTGTACTTTTTTGACTTTTTGACTACAGTAAATGGATATATAGTTTGGTCAACGGGGTAGCCAGGGCCAGCAGTACATACGCTAATTTTATATCTCATGTATGATGTGACCCTCTTACAATTTGCTTCAAAATTAGGTTTTCAAAAGTTGCATGATATGCGAATATACACGGTAAAGTTTCTATTGGACACAATTTGTAAAGCTTCGGTAAATTATAAATTTTATAAGGTTGTGCTATAAGGCTTTCACTGATCACTGGAATGAAATTCCAATGCTACGATTTGGGACCTGAATTTAATCTTTAAACTTTTCTCAAAAAACGGTAAAGATTTGTAAAAAATATTTCATGTCTTTATTTATCATGTCAAACCCCAACTTTCAAATTGGAGTACAATACCATGCTGCAAAATCAACCTGCCCTTCAGCAATGGTGTAAGTGTCACTAAATTTTATCCAAAGCTTCACCTTTTGGTTGTAATTGAGAAAGATGTTCCTCTGCAAATCCCTTCAGTACAAGGTTGGGTGCCACCATTCTCACAATTGAATCTACTTTGTCTCTGCTAATTTCACGAATTTGAAAGAGAATTGGTCAGTTGCATATGATTCTTCAGTCACACACAAAGAAAAAAAAAATATATATATGTATGTGCATGTGTGGGATATTTTATTTATATATATATATATATATATATATATATACACACACACACTTGCATGTACATATAAATATATTTATTCTTCAGATGCAATTTTATATAAAAAAGAGAGTTATCCCCCTTGATACCTAACTGGTTTGCTTAATTTCAAATTTAAATAATTTTTTTTTTTTTAATTCTTTGTCTTTCAAACTTAAGAATTTGAATGATATAAACTAAAAATAATTAATTATAATATTTTACGCAACAATAATTACATAAACAACTTAACACACAATTTTAAATCATCACCACAAGAACATGAATGGTCAGAATATACTCAACACCTGACTACATGAAACTCAGTCATACTATCGATGTTGGATATTATGTATATATATATATATATATATATATATATATAGTTCAGTCCAATGAAGTTTCTAAGGGTCGAAACATGTTACACAAAAACCTTTTCCATTTCATCATACATAACTGTTCTTGATTGATATATAAAAAATTATATATTGTTATCCCATATATCTCTATCTATAGTTCAAAATATTGTTGTTGATTTTCAAGAATAAAGAAATTGTATAAATCCACTTTCATAGGTTTGGGTTTTATTAAAATTCTGATCATTGCTTTTTAATACATGCCTGAGGGAGTTAAAAGTGTACACAGTAATAGTTCCTTGCTCTTGAGAATTGACAACAAAAATATTAAACACTATTTACTTATTTGTTTATTTACAAGAATAATTTTATATAATGCAACACAATATCTATAATTTACCAATTGATAAAGAAATAAATTTGAAAACAATTTTTTATTCATATGTGACACTATTTAATGCTGGAAGATGTTTAAAACTGAAAAATAAGAATTAAAAGATAGACTGATCAGCTATAATATTTAATGCTGGAAACTAGGGATTAGAAGATATAATGAAAGATAGACTGATCAGCTACAATGAAGAGGATAATGTTTTGATAGAACAATGTGGCAAATCTGAGAGTAATTAATTACGAAAGGCGCTGGAGATAATCAGGATGGGCAGACTCGGCCAGGAGGGTGGTTGGAGGACCCAGAGCTGAGAACAATAGAGTCTCAAGTTTATAAAACAAGAAAGTGTGTAAGCCATAATTTTACAAATAAACAATCTTGACAATTGATGAATGATGGTCATTAAAACACAATAGAAAGCATACGGGTGTTAAGGAAATGTTGATTCAGGATATAGAATGCAGAAGTGAAAAACAGAGATCCTTTATAAACAGACATAGAATTTAAGGAACGACCGATCAAGAAGAGCCATGTGTTAAATACCAGAATTTTGGCAAAGTGAGAAAAAGACTTGTGTAGGCAAATTTCCAAATGATAATTTTAATTCCAATGCTGACAAACCGGAAAACCCTACATAAGCAAAACGTCGAGGAGATAAAGTCTTCTAATTAATGAGGTAAATTGAATTGCATCATGAAGATTGAGAAGCCATTGGCTGGGTGGTAGGCATAGTGGCGGGCACAGCTAAAATAAGAGAAAAGATGGAGAAATTATTAATGCCCCTCCAAAGGAATTAGTGAAAGATGCCAATAGATGAGAGAAGGAATATGAGTAGAGGGATCGATATCCTGTGACCATACTCTGCAAAAGAGGAGGTCTTACCAAAAATTGCAAATGTAAGCAATTTTAAACAATGGACCTTTACTGGATTTAAAGAAATCACTGAAATCACCATGTCATGCCTCATGCCGATATGGAGCAAGGGCCCATATAAGCAAACGCACAAGGCTGAGGAAACAAGCTTCATCTGTAGAACCGGAGAATTCCGTCGAGCACTGTTAAAAGTCCGTATTGACGACTGACCAGCTCGATGAGGCTGCCCAAGTGACTCCTGCCAAGAACAAGAACTCCAAGTTTGAAGAAAAACTATGCTAAGACCAAGAAGTAATCTTCATCCTTGCCCCAACAAAGTCAATACGAAAAGCACATTGAAGTTAACACCAAAAAACAGAACAAGTTAACATCTAAAAGCAGAATTATCCTAACACCAAAAACAGAACAAATTCCTCATAGAAAATAGAATTTCAAAATCCAGCTCTGAGAACTCATTTAAGACAGATTAGGACAATAATTGTTCTAAACCAAAGAACCGATATAAAAGGTGAACTTTGTTACTTATTAACTGTGCATCATATTTTGTTTTATTTTTCATTTTTATTGATGTGCACTTTCACCCTAGCGGATCGACTTGGTACCAAAGATTCCGACAGCAACCAGACCTGACCATCCTATGATCTTAAAAATACACAACATGGGATAGGACAAAGGTTGGGACCGGAAAAGTTACCTCAGTAACTTACTGTGGCGTCTTATATCTTGAATGAGCCCAAGGGTTTGGCCACTGTGTATTTGGTGACAGTGACCAAGGAACAGCCAAGAAGTTTCTACAAGATTGGTCACATGGCCAAAGATCGCAGAGCCCCCAGAACATGTCACACATAAATTTATAAACATTTACTAAATTATTAAAATTTGTGAACTGACTATAAGGAATTCCTTATTATTTACCATTTTATAAAGTTTGAATCAATTGGCAATTAGCCGATGTTTTGCCAACCATTTCAATAAAGAATCTAATAAATAAAGTGTTTATTATTTTTGTTATCAATTCTTATGAAAAAGTGAGGGATCAGTTTATATATTGATTGTAATATAGAACTGACCCCCCACTTTATATCCACATTATAATTTCTTGTTTGTTTATCAAATTCTGATTAGGTATGAATCCACATCATCTCTCCCAATCTATGGGTTAATTAGTAAGACTTGTATCATTAAACCATTATTATCTCAAACAAAAAAGATATGAAAACATTTTTTTTATTCTTAAATTCATAAGAATTTATTAAAATAAATAAATATGTGAACCAACTCTAAGGAAATCGTTGTTATTTACCATTTTATAAAGTTTGAATCAATTGGCGATTAGCCGATGTTTTGCCAACCATTTCAATAAACAATCTAATAAATAGTGTATATTATATTTGTTGATTAACTCTCAAGAACAAAGAAAATGTATAAATTCACTTTCATCACATGTTTGGGTTTTATTAAAATTCTCATGATTGCTTTTTAAAACTATAAACATTGCCAAGGGAGTCAGAAGTGTAAACAGTAATAGTGGTGTCAAGGGAATATCCTTCCATTTGACACCACTAAATATTTCAAAATGATAAATAACAAGACTTACTTTTACTGTCGGAAAAGAGTAACCTGATTGGGCTAAGGCTCAGTTGGGATAACAAAGTTTCCAAGTATTTGGTCTGTAAGCTGCAATTAGACACAATTGAGATAAAACAAAACTAAAAATACAAAAATATAACCAGATTCCTGGCAGTAAACATCAGACATGCCCCCATACTGATGATGGTCACCTAATACAAACCCCAAATATGTAGATTTCAAATATCATACCAGAGGAGGCTACACTTCAGTGCAGGTGGATTACGATCAATTTAGCTCACTGGTTCCCAACCCTTTAGGGGCTGTGCCCCACCTAAGCATCTCTTTAATCCTGATGCACCCCACTCCCATGACATATAATTCTCATCATTCAAAAATCAAACACCCATTCATGTAGCGGAAGCTTAAAAAGTCATTAACTTTCCTTAAGATTTTGAGATTGCACATATACAGTGTGTGTGTATATATATATATATATATATATATATATGAATGAAGAAATTAGTCTTAAGATGTGCTATGGGATAAAGTGCTCAATATCAGAGATAGAGCGTGTGTAAATATAAAAGTGAACATAGAAGTCAACACTTAGAGGCGACAGTCTGTTTCATGCTATATGCAATTGTCAGGCCACGTGTGCTGTTATTTTTCTCGGCTATATATATATATATATATATATATATATATATATAATAATTATTTATTTAAAAATATGATTCCAAATCGCGACATAAGAAGTTCGCTTGAAGATGGAACAGAGCTTATTTTAACTCATTTTAATTTAAAAAATTATATTGAAGTTTTCGGCTCTTGTTTTGAAACATGGGACTTCTTATGTCGCGATTTGGAATCATATTTTTAAATAAATAATTATATTTATGCTCTACTTTTGTATCGAGCACTATTTTTTAAATATAATAACTAAAATACTAAGGGACTTTGGATTATTTACCTAACCAGTTCCTTCCTATTTTCTATATATTTTCACACACATATATATATATATATATATATATATATATATATATATATATATATACAGGTCAGTGGTGCATTGTGGGTAGTCTATTTTGGCGATTATTTTACCGGAATTTATTTATTTGTTTATTTATTTATTTTGGTTAAATTATTTTTTTTATTTTATTTTTTTTTTTAATGGTGTTTTTATTTTTATATTTTTTTTTTCAGTGTTTTTAATCGGTGTCAACAAATCACACAAACAAATTAAACCCATGTGCAACTGAAAAAAAAAAAAAAACCTCAATGAACCTATATATATATATATATAAAAAGACACATTATGTTTCATCTATGTATTCATTAGCTATAAAACTTGGTCTCACTTCTTAGTAACAAGATATTATGTTGTTATGTTAAAAACATTATTCAAAGTCAACATACCTCATATTACCATAATAACTATATTGGTAACAGCGTGTTACTAAATAACGAGACAAGATTGATTTTTATTTCTTCTGCTTTGTGCAAACTTACTTTTGATATTTTTAATTTTAATGATTTAAAAAGAAAAATTCTTTCACTACGAACAGCATCAAGTCAGAGTCAAGGGTGGTAAATGTGAAATAAGGAACTCGTCTAATATGGGGAAAAACTCTATGAAACTAAGTCTCTAGAAAAATACTTACATGGGTCTGGGGACATTTTTTTTATCTGATCCCTTCTGCGGGTTCTTTTCAACAATCAAACAAGGTCGTTCAAAATATTCGCACATGTCTTGGAGGCGTTTCACCAATTTCTTGTTGTTAGCACCATTGACAAAATCTGAAGACAACAGAGAAGGCAAAATTAAATTTTGAAATTAAAAAGCGTGCACGTGTACCACATTTCAAGTCTGTTTATCTGACATTTTTGCTGGATACAAAACAGTGTCTTAAATGGTTAGAAATAAAGATGCAGGTGTCCTGCATCTTCATTGGGTGCCTTATGCCAGACTTAGCACTATATAAATTTTGATTATGATAGCTCGGAATAAAAACGGACAAACTTTAATATGTGTGTGTGTGTGTGTGTGTGTGGTGGACTTTCCTGTCATATTCGACGTATGAGGGACAAGCAGCTTAGTTCCTAGGAACCAACAGCCCAGACCCCAGCACATGATTTGATTATAGTGGTGAAGGCTTTGTGCCGAACTAACCACACTTTTTGAAGAGCCGAATACAGAGATCTGGTGCACTACGTGCCACAAGGTCCCCAAACGACCCTGTGCAGGTTTTGAATTCAGAGTTGTCCTTGTCCTAGACCAGTTGCCATCCAACACAGTCTACCCTGCTATTTATCTATAGCTGGAGGGAGAAGAATAGGATTAATACCTTTCCCAAGTGTATTAGCACATAAGTGAATGTAATGGATTCGACTGGAATTCGAACACGGCTCTGCGATTCCTCAATCCAAACATCTATCTATCTATCTATCTATCTCTCTCTCTATATATATATATATATAATTAATACATGAAATAAATACAGAGTTTGAAACTTGGCTCTCCGATTCTTCAGACCAAGCTGCTATCCATTACTTCACCGTGCCTCCTATAATATATATATATATATATATATATATATATATATGGCCAATTAGTTTTTGTCTATTGTTTTCATGTCGAAGTATAGTTGTGTTTTTGACAAGTATTTTACGGAATTGTGTGTGCGGGCAGGCATGTTGTTTTAAATGCCTAAAAATGTTAGAGTTTTCATTAAAATGTAGTGTCAAGCGTCGTGAAAGCGAGTTTGTGGTGTGACCAACATAAATATTATTTAATTCGTTGGAGATACACTCTTCCAAGGGCACTTGAATTTATAAACTATGTTGGTTTTTTGCAAATCGCTAAACTAAAAATACTTGAAGCATTATACATCAAACAGTTGAAACCCAACCTAAACAAAATCAATTATGGCATGTCTACAAATATTCTTAAATGTCTATAATTTCTATAATTGGTAACAGAAGCCATTGGTTTATACCAACAGCTTTCCTTATTTCATTCTACAATTCACTCTCGTGTAGTCATGTGTGACGTCATGAGATGTGGTGCGATTTTTAAACTTCTAGCGTCTTATATGCACGTGTTTATCGTTGCTTAGTGATCCACTATGTAAACAATGACAGACTATCATCACTGTCGTGTCCGTATATTGTTTAATATGTTTGTGATTTATATCTTTGATAATGGCTTAAGTAAGCCGAAAGCTTAGATTATATTAAAAATGATGGATAAATATTGTGAATTTCTTTCTTCGTTTAATGATAATGTTATCAAACTTATCAGAAGATACGAAAAAATTTTACATAAAATAAATAGACAACACTTGTCTATATTATTTAATGAAACGTGTATAAATGAAAATATGCTGCCTAAATACACACAATATATATATATATATATATATATATATATATATATATATGGCCAATCTTTACCTCAACCCATTCATTATGGCTGTAAAACAAAAAGACATCTTTAATTACAGAAATTCACTTCAAATATTTCGCATTCATCTACACTTATAATATTATGGATGCAGAGGCTCTTATTACAACTACCTGCCCCGGCCAGTATTACCAACGACGCTACCTGCTCTTAGCTAGTATTACAACTGACGCTACCTGCCTTAACTAATATTACAATGAATGCTATCTGCTTTAATTAGTATAACAAGCAGCAAGCAGAGAAGTGAGCAAGGATACATTGAATCAGACATTCCATTAAATTCTTAGCCTCCTAGAAAAAAGAAAAATTATGTAAACAGATGCTATAGAATAATTGTAGAAAGCCTAACTTCATAACATTGGAACATTATTTACTCAAATATCAATAGTATGCAGCGTCTTATATACTACTAGCAGTAGAGCCCGGCGTTGCCCGGGGATGTAACAGTAAGAGATAGATCAAGTATCGACCATCATAAAGACTGAAAAATAAAATTGACAAAGATTATTGTTTAAGGTTGGCGGACACGCATGTCTTAATTAGTTTTTTTTTTTTGTTTTGTTTTACGAATTGGTCAAACCCAAACTCAAAGAAAAACATTGTTTTCAATCGTTATGAGTCTACCGATTGAATAGCATTCTGAATGTAAAAATAAAGAAAAAGTGTGCAAGACAATAAGAAACACTACCTGCCAAAAAAAAAAAGTGAAGTTTTGTTGAAATCGGTTGAAAAATGTAGGAAATCTGATCCCATATATAAACAAACACACCCACACACAAACAACCTGGGTTTTATAAGTATAACTCGAGATGAGTTGTCCCCCTTTCATTCTGGCGACAGAATTGTGTTTTATCATGTTTTCAAATTGATTTCATACAAAAACAATTGTGTTTTTCCAATTTTTGGTGCTGTCAGAACCACTGCAAGGTAATTTTACGTAGTCCTGTGAAGTTTTGTTGAAATCGGTTGAAAAATGTAGGAAATCCAATCCAATATATAAACGTACACACACACACAATCTGCGTTTTGATAAGTAAGATTTTGGCGATACCTGTAAGGTTAATGCTTTCCCAGATGCCATAGACCAGCAATCCCCAACACGTTTTCCTCATTTTATTTACTATTGCCATCTTGTTTATGGTGTTTTGTTATGCATGTGACCAACACCACCTGTCAACCTGGTAGTTTGGGTCATATATGCAAAGTTGAAGTATCTGGTAGGCTAATTAATGATTACCCAGATGCCATAGACCAGGGGTCAGCAACCTTTTGGAAATTGCTTGGCATACCACATGTGGCACGTGTGCCATAGGTTGCCGACCCCTGCCATTGATTACCAGTACTTGTACCTAAACTCAATCAATAATAATGGAACATTATTTACTAAGATATCATCCTGGTAGTCTGGATCACATATGCAAAGTTGAGGTATCTGATAAGCTAGACTACCAGCACTTGTACCTAGCCTAACTCTATTTGCATATTATTTACTCAGATAACAAATTATTCTTATACAACCTGGTAGGCTAATTTTACTTACATTGTTGACCAATGTAGCCTAGTTTGTGATGTATTAATAAAGACAATGCTTTTTCTAAAATTCTTTTTTTACAAGTTCATTACATTTATCTAAAGACTAATAAATTGAGCAAGTAGATTTTATCCACACCACAATTCATAAAAAATTTTCAATGTTGGGATATTGCAATAGAATGCAATAAGCACAAGAAAAATATAGAATTTGTTTTTAAAGTTTTCAAAACCCTGTTATCAAGTAAAAAGCACAAGAAAAATTCTAGTTTCAATCGTGTAAGAATTAATTAACAGCCACGACCGGTCATTTTTACTTTTCCAATTATATATTTTTTCAAGTTGGTTAGACTAAATGACTGGCCATCTACATCAACATTAAACATATCTTCAAAATGCAAAACGTAGAATTTTTAATGACGCAGTTTCATTACACATTTCTAAAGACCAGAATTCTCAGCTTTTCTTCTTGGAGACTGTATACAAATAAATGTTATTGGTTCTTCTAATGTACATTAAAATAAAGTTTTCAGCAATCGTCATGCCTGCAAAAAACCTGTATGAAAATGATGGCTTAACAATGCTATTATTTTAACTACATTTACTCCTTGGCAATGTTTATTGCTTTAAAAAGTGATGATTAGAATTTTAATAATACCTAACATATTAAAGTGAATTTGTACATTTTCATTGTTTTTTTAGAATTGACAACAAAATCAATAAACACAATTTATTAGATTGTTTATGGAATGATTGGCAAAACATTGACTAATTGCCAATTGATCCAGACTTTATAAAATGGTAAATAATAAGGATTTCCTTAGAGTTGGTTCACATATTTTTAATAATTTAATAAATGTTTATAAATTTATGAATCAAAAATCGTTTTTATATTTATTTATTTCTAAGTTGGTAAATGATAAATATTGCATTAATTTTAATTGTATTAGTTTTTAGTATATTGTAAATATAAAATTCTTGTAAATAAACAATCTAATAAATAGTTCTTATTATTTTTGTTGTCAATTCTCAAGAACAAAGAAAATGTATAAATTCACTTTCATGTTTAAATTTGATTAGAGTTCTCATCATCGCTTTTTAAAACAATAAACATTGCCAAAGAGTGAAGGTAGTTAAAATAATAGTGGTACCAAGGGTGGAACCAGCCTTTGGACACACCATTTTTTTTAACATGAATTTTGAAGATTACCCAGTTTTCTTACCAGACATGTGCTTTCTTTCCACAGCTGTGCGCAAACTGACAATGTAGTCGCATGCCTCCAATTTGGTCACAACCACATTTAATTTATGCTGGATTCGGAGATCTGATATGATATCCTTTGAAAACAGAAAAAAATTATTTTATTAGTACATGCAGAAATTTCCAGCATTTTTTATTTGGTGAAAAAGTAATATTCAAGGGAATAAGTGTCTTTTTGACACACTGTTACTTTTTGGGAATATAAATGTTAATTTTATATTACTAGCAGCCATAGTCAGTTAATTGATCAGAAAAAGTGTTCAATTAAAATGGAGCAAAAACAGCATCATGTTTAGATGTAACAGCATTTATCTTCTTCAATTACATTAAAGTACTTTCATTAAAAAACATTTTGAATTAATGCAGTTACTGATATAAAAGAAGTAGTCTGTATTTATTCAATCAAAGTTAGCCAAGGACATGAAGGGGTAAAACAGGCAACATGAAGACCCACTTCAGACCACAATTATTTTGGAGTTTTTTAAAATTCAATTTGTCAGTGTGTTACCAGGGATGTAAAAAAGGATACATTTATAAAGCAATTAAGTTTGATGAAAATTGGTTGAAAGATCAACGAAAAATGACAAAGAAACCAGAAAAAATTGCCATTTTTCACTATTTACATGGGTTTTCACTATATGGGTGGACTCGATTATCTAGTTAAATGACTGTTAAACAATCAACTTATTGTTGGCTACAATTGAATGAAATTTGTTTTAGATTGCTTGAAAACTGAGGGAGATTTTAGTTTAAAATTTGTGTTGAAATTAATTTTTTGTTTTTCACTAAAGACAGTGGTGTAGAAATAAAAATGAGGTATCATTGAACTTGTCATGATGTAAGTAACCTACATACAGAGTTTGAATGAAATCGGAGGAAAAAATTTGAATTTATCGATTTTTGATCAGCTTTATCAATTATTGATTTTTTAAAAATTATCAACTTTTATGCTAAGAACTTACCTCTTACATTGTACAATGTATATGCCAAGTTTGGTCAAAATCGGTTGGATGGATCTCAAGTGAAAAGGTATCAGACAGACACACAGACATCCTTTATTTTATATATATAGATTACACCCTCTTTTGTCTTAGAATCATCTTACCTGGGCTCCTGTAATTTCTCTGGAATCAGCAAAAATCACCAAAGGTCCTGAATCCTGACAATCTTTACTTTCAGAAACAACAGAATGTGAATCTGACTTTGAAATCTGCTCATTTCTCTAGAAAAAAAAAAATCAAAACAAATTCTTTTATTTACATAAAAACAAAAGTAAAAAGATAATCTTTTCAGAGATAAATGACAAGATAAGTATATTCACCATTCCAGCATTATGCTACTCACACAATCAAATCAAAAAGGTAGACATTGGTCTAGCTTATATTTGTGTCTGTAAGCATCCACTTGCAAAGTGGTCCTTTTTGGGGGTTTTACACTTCTACACAGGATGCAATTATGTATATTTGGCCCTGCCTAGATTAAAATTATTCACTTATATTAAAAGGAACAAGTAAAGCATTTTCTACATCTAGGTAGCCTTTTATTAAACATGTGCACTTCAGAAAAGGATGCAGAACACATGGCACTTGGAAAGCTAATCAAACAGTTCTGAGTTTAACAAATGTCATTTCAACTTTGCTATATAGCAGCAAAACCAGGACTCTATATTGTCAGGATATCCCAAAATTAGAACACTTTCACCAGCAAATTTTTTATTCTTGAACATCAAATGGAATTACTACATGACCAACAAAAAGGCCTGGCAAAGAGGCAACAGTCAAAATATTGAATTGCTGTTCATGAAATGCTGTCTTTGATGGTTAGGTCATGTTGCAGGAATGGAAGTGTCAAGGTTTCCACATCAAGTCTTATCCAGTGAACTCACTTCATGGAAAAGACTACAGGGTTACTGTTGTAGAGTGGTTTCACGGTGGAGGCTTGTATTTGTACTAAGTCGGTCCTAAAATAGGTTTGACGCACAAAACGTGAGGAACTTGATATAATAGGTAATGATGCAGTAATCTAGTTGTGGTGGCTGATACTTTAATATCCGACTAACGGTCGTCCGACATCGACTGACTGACCAACTCCACTGAGCGACTGCTACTAATCCTACTTATTATAGGTGGGAGAGTCTATTAACAATAGAATAGGTGTGTTCCACTATAACAGTTACCCCCTCCAAAGATACAAGGATTAACCCACTGAATAATTACAGATTATTTGGAAGAAAAAGTAGCTTTGAATTAAATTTTGTTTAAGAGCTTCCTATTTCATGTAGGAACACACCTGCAATCTTAAAACATAATAATAATAATACAAAGTTGTCAATTTAGGTTTCTAAAATTTTTAAATTTAAGAATTTAATAATAATAAATTATTAGGCATTAAATTACATCACTTAGTGTCATCCATAGTTTACCTTTGTTTTCGCGGTTAGCCTTGAGCATAAATTGTTTAAAATACAAACTCGAGACTGTACCAACAGGTGATGTTCCATCACTATTGGAACCAAAAACTTCAAAGCCACCAGAAGAGAAAAGGAAGAAGTTAGACAAGAGAGAAAGACACAATAAAATCAACTTCATCTTCCAACATTACCATATAGTCAATGCCAGTGGCACTTCTATACAAGAATTGGTCAACTTAGTCTTTATGAAAAACCATTATCATAAAGGAAGTGATCAGCAAAGAAGAAATTATATTCTTGGATACAAGATAAAGACACCAGCAACGAAAACAAAAACATCACTTTCAAATATTAAGTGGCTTGTGAGAAGGCTAATTTAGATGCAACGCCACATTTTCAGAGCACCTGACAGAAAAAGAATTCACTTTTAATGGCTTGTGAGAACCCCTCTACAAAATATAGAATATTTACAATATAAAGACCTCTTCCTCAAATTAGGCCAACAAACAAAATTCCTCATTGTATTGTTTTGTTTTCACATTGTCTTATATTAATTGTGATTTGCAAGCCAAGTTTATTTAATGTCATATCTCTTCAAGACATAGGTGATCATGGCTCTCCACACATTCTTTTTCGTTTATTATTTGCAAATTACCATGTATTCTTGGGAAAGATAGCAGAGGGGTTCTGTTGCCTTCTCCATGCTTTGGAATTCAGTTTTCATTTTCTTAAACCTGTTGTTGTCCAAGGCTAGAGAACCAAGTCTACCCTACTATTTCCTCATAGCTGGCAGGAGAAGAGATGGATTCATGCCTTTCCTAAAGTCGTTTGTGTGAAAGTGAATGCAACAAACTAGCACGGAATCTTGAATGCTGCCAGACAATTTCACTTTCCATACTGAAATCTTACACAACACACACACATATCCAATGGTCCAAGCATAGATATCAATAAGAAGTGATGGCTGCAGATAAGAAAAAGAGATGTGAGATTTAAGGCGTCAAAACTTTGCCAAGACAGCAGATGTGATGTGTACGCCCTAAGAGAACAAAGTTTAAAAAATAAGACCAAGACACAAAAAAGAAGGTCCAGGTGTAGAGAAAGAAGACAAAAGACTTTATTTGAAACAATCATCAGATCAATCTCAGTCAGGTTTTTGAAATCAGAGTTGTCCTCCAAGACTGGTTGCCAACGAAAGCAGAATTATCCCAGTCTATTATTTAACCCAGAGCTGGAGTTAGAAGCGATGGATTCATATCTATCCCAAAGGTATTTGCCCCTGAGCGATTGCAATGAACTCAACTGGAATTTGAACTTGGCACTCTGGTTCCTCATTCCAAGATGTTATCCATTAGACCACCTGCACATAGCTAGAACAAATGTATAGTAAAAACAAAAAATCTTTCAAATAAAGTCTTACCTTGGCAGGTTCACTTTGTGGGTCTTTGAAAATTTCTTCGTCTTCACTTGAAGATTCAGGACGGATAACACGTCTTGTTTTGCTTTTCTTCTCAATATTCTTCTTGTTTTTCTCCTTTAGAGTTTCTTTCTCAAATGAACTTTCTTCTATGATAGTGTTTTCAGTCAGAGCTGGTACCAAAGAGAGGCAAAGTTATAGCACATAATTACAGATTATTTGGTAGAAAAAGTAACTTTGAATTAAATTTTATATGGGTGTTTCCTATTTCATATAGGAACACACCTGCAATCTTAAATCATACACTACTACTAATAATAATAAACTGTCAATTTAGGTTTCTAAAATTTTTTAATTTAAGAATTTAATAATAATAATAAATTATTAGGCATTAAATTATATTACTTAGTATCCTACATAGTCTAATTTTTTCACAGTTAGTCCAAAGAATATTTTTGGAGTGATCTCAAATTTAAAAACTTTTTTACTTCAGTTTATAAACAAAATAAAATGTACTAGAATTAAATAATTTATTCAGAATTAAAAGAGTTGCTTAAAGACTTACAGGATTCGGCACTTTCTACACAAAAGCTGTCATGTTCATAATCTTCATCAGACTCGGGAGGACATGAATACACATCTGAGACATTCAAGTACTTCATCTTGTAGCCACGATGCTTCGCAACGGGACTCACCACGGACTGGAGATATACAGCTTTCATATCAACCACGTCTGAAACGAACACAAAGAATCAATACAAACACAGCAAAAAGCGTCTGCATCATTTATGCTTTTATTTTTAAATAATTTTTATTCACATTACATCTCATCTACAGACTAAACCCACCCAAACACCACCAACGGTCTTCAGATGCAACAGACAAAATCTGCAGGAAAAATAAAATAAAAAATCTGCAGGAAAAAAAAAAAAATTTTAAATCGTCAGTGATGTATTTCAAAATTTGCAGGCTTAGCAGAATGAGTCATACTAGTTCTCAAAGTGACCGCTTGGCGGGCCTTTCAATTGTAAACAAAGACAGGTGTACAGTATATAAAGTACAATACATTAGTGCGTGCATGAGAAAGTAGCTGTGAGAAATCTATTATTTTAATTAATATATCTATATTAAGTATATATTTATTTATGCCATATATACATGTTTATAGTATTTACATTATGATCATAACAACTGGTAGTTACTGTAGTGTTTTTAAAATAATTAAAAATAAAACAATTCCTTCCCAACTACGGACAATCGGCTTTAATGTATTACCCATTAGTCCGCTGATGAAAGGTTTGTCTGTATTTACATTCAGACTAATATCCTCATCTCTTGTCTTGTCACCATGTTTCAACCATTGTAAGTGACAAAGCTAGAATAATAAGTGTTGAAGTGAGGATTGATAGGGACAAAACGTTAAGTGGTTTCCCATTGATGTATTTGTGAAAATATCAAGGTAACAAAAGATGTTTTAGTGAATTTCTCTACCATGCATCCCGAAAACCAACCAGCGATAAGAGAAACAGAGACGGTAGTTGGGGAGATTCGGTAGGAAAGTCTTACTTGTTTTTTTTTTCATAGCAATAGGTAAATTTTATTGTTTGTAAACTTTTGCTGTAGACAAGCAAGGCAAAGTTGAGGGAGTGAACAGTCTAACAGGTGTGTCTTCCTTTCCTTACCACTCTCCATGCTTTTCTCTGGGTCTTTCTGTTTTAGCTGCAGGTGACCAATGTCTTAACAGCATTCTTTGTCTTGTCGTCTGACTAAAAAAATGAATTAATCAAGAACCCAGGATCTTGTTCCACTCAGTGATCTTCCTTGTCAGGGTGGTTTGCCATGATCCTTCACTTAGCTGATAATCATCAAGACAATAACTGTCTGAAACAATTTCTGTAACATCCTTCAGATGTTTCCACTTAACAAGATATCAGCTGACACTGATATCGCCACATATTGTACCGGTCTCCTTGGTCTTAGAGTGGGAATATAAACCATATGAGACTAGCTGTTAAAAGTTGAAGCAACACAAAGATGATGAGCAAAATTTAATAACTGTTTATTTTATTTGAACTCCAGTTCAGTCTGTTTTGCTCCCAGCATTCCCTAGACAGACTGGAATACTTCAACGTCATTATCACTGATGTTAGGGTACAACACCTAACAGCCTTCTTCAAGTGTCTGTCAATCCAGGTAATCTTCAGGAAATTTCAAACTTAACACTTTATTTTATCTACAGAGTTAAACTGTTCTTGTCTTATTTTTTTTGTACGGCTCAGTTATTTCTCACTTGTGAAATTCTCTTCTGGCTTCTTGCTTCCCAGTCAACTTTGATTTTCAAAAATTTAAATGCAATGTCAATCGTTATCTCCTGTTTTCTTAATTATTCTTTTATTGTACTCTTATTAATGTTTTTGGGAGTGAAATAATTAAAAACAAATTCACTTTGAATTATTTTACATGGAAATCATGAAAAGGTGATTTGGGAGAGCAAAAGATGCCTTCCAAAGTCCTAACATGGCTTCCCTGTGCCTTTTCTATAACTACATTCATGGTAATTGTTCTGATAAACTTACCTCTATGGTACCTCAAGGCTATGAATTTAAGTGCAGTACTAGGTTGATGGCAAGGTCTCATCATTTTAGAGTTGATGTAAATTCTATGCTAACAGTTTCTTCTCTTGTACTTCTCGCTTGGGGAACCCTCTTCCAACTTTTTGCTTCCCAGTCAACAAAGTCTTCAAAAATTTAAATGGAATGTCAATCGTTATCTTCTATCTTCTTAATTATCTTCTTTTATTGTCCTCTCTCTCCTTAATAGTAGTTTTTCTCATATTCTCTAACACTTAGTAACCCCTTGCATCCTAGTGTCTTTATTGCCTTTGATCTTCAAACATTTAAATGCAATGTCAATCATTATCTTCTGTCTTCTTAATTATTCTTCTTTTATTGTTCTCTCACCTTAATAGTAGTTTTTCTCATATTCACTAACACTCAGTAACCCCTTGCATCCTAGTGGCTTTATTGCCTTGATTGGGATGAAATGATTTTAAAAAAACAAAAAAAAAAATGTTGGTTATTGAGTGCTTTCAATCTTCTGATCATATTCAAGAATCAAAACTTCAGTAGACATGTTGTCGTTCCCATATTCAAGTACTTTTTAAAACATTGTGTGACCATCATTTCTAAAATTGTCTGAAGAACAGGTGTGCACTGTCCATACTTACTTTGTGTCTGGTCAATTTGCGACAAGTCGTTGATGAAACTCTGCTCATAGTGGTCAGCTTCTTCAACCTCTTCATCCGAATGGCCATCATCACTGCCAGATAACTCTGCTTCTTCATCCAGAAACTGTCGTCCATCTAACTGATCACACAGAAAAAAGAAGAGAGAAGGAAAAGTTATGTACAAAGCTTAGACGGTCACAGAGACTAGTGGTGTGCGGAGGTCTGGTAGTGCCCAGGGTGAGGATTGTGACTGGCACCTCTACATCCCCCCCACCCCAAACAAAATCACAACAGTATACTTCGTTTATTTTCCTTTAGACAGATCCGTTGTTCACAAAGGTTTATCACAATCAGAGAGAATGTTTAAATAAAAAACATTAACACATTATACAAATTCGACAAATTTTATTTATTTATAGATAAGGTTGATAAAGGGCTTCGTTTGTGAAACATTTCTTAACTGTATTTTATTAAAAAAATCTAATAATTGACAGTTGATAACATGAAAAACAATTTCAACTCAGTAGTAGTTAGATAAAATTTTGCATAAACATTTCTCATCTAATATTTGTTTTGCAAAATCTTTTGAGAAGGTATTTTTCTTAATTTGTGAAATATGGCAACAAAAACAGAAACTATATTATTATGCTCTCAAAAAATAAGCTGAAAGATTGATTTTTAATTAAAATTAAGATTGTTTTGAAATTATTTAATTTTTCGCTGTCTCCTGTGACATTGTTGGCTATTAGTAATTAACTAAAATCAGTCTTAATTATTATTAACTAGCAGTAGAGCCCGGCGTTGCCCGGGGATGTAACAGTAAGAGATAGATTAAGTATCGACCATCATAAAGACTGAAAAATAAAATTGACAAAGATTATTGTTTAAGGTTGACAGACACGTCTTAATTAGTTTTTTTTTTTTTTTTCGGATTGGTCAAACCCAAACTCAAACAAAAACATTTTCAATCATTATGAGTCTACCGATTGAATAGAATTTTATTATAAACAATTGCCTTGTAAATGGAATTTTTAAAGCATTCTGAATGTAAAAATAAAGAAAAAATTGTGCAAGACAATAAGAAACACTACTTGCCAAAAAAAAAGTGAAGTTTTGTTGAAATCGGTTGAAAAATGTAGGAGATCCAATCCCATATATAAATGAACACACACAAACAACCAACCTGGGTTTTATAATAAGTATAACTCGATATTAATAAGTATAACTCGATATGAGTTGTCCCCCTTTCATTAATGCCTCTTAATCGTGTTTTCACATTGATTTCGTGCAAAAACAATTGTGTTTTTCCAATTTTTGGCACTGTCAGAACCACCATAAGGTAATTTTACGTAGTTCTGTGAAGTTTTGTTGAAATCGGTTGAAAAATGTAGGAAATCCGATCCAATATATAAACGTACAGACACACACACACAATCTGCGTTTTATAATAAGTAAGATAATAAATAGTAAAATAGAACATTTGGAATAGAATACATGGAAAATTAATTATCAAAAATCAAATATTTTCTATTAACAGTTTCATACTTAGATTTATGTATAAACAAATAAAGTTTACATATTTTAGTGGTGGATATTGCCTTACAGATATTCTGAGGTCTTGTTTACTGTTTTCCTTTGCATGAGTACACGTAACTTTGTGGGAAGTTAAAACAACACTGATTTAAAAGTCCCCATCTTTTTTGCATGAAATGGCCACAACATTAACATCCCAAATTTACAAGATGGTTGCATAATTATGCATACTATCAAAGGAATTTCATGTTTTTATTCTAATTATAAAGGTTTGGCTGTTTATTGCTATATTGACAATACTGTCAATGAAATATATTTAATAGTAGTTTATATTTTTACTGTACAAAGACATAGATAATAATAATAATATTTAGCTCAACTTTAACAAAATTTTTGATGCTGTATCTTATTTGCAATTTGGTTCAGAAGTTTGTAAATATAAATTTAATAAAAGATGTTCAATTTTACTATAGAGACCATTGGATTTCACAAACATTAATGTAAGTACATTTTTCTCATCTTTTTGTTAACTCTATTAGTTAACAAAAAGAAAAGAAAAATACACTTACATTTATGTTAATGTCAAATTTGCTTTGGTTTTTTCAGTTTTTAGTCTGAAAGAATTTGACTCTACGAGAATAAAAATAATAACCAAGAATCTTTTTAAAGCAGTCTTTGATTTTATGCTATCTCCACACACCCCACCCTTTTTTAAACTACCAGTTCACAGACATGAAAAATCAAAATGAAAGAACTGACAACAAAGTCTTGGACTTCTCACATAGGTCAAGTGGGAGGAGGTAACTTGTGGTATACTTAATGACCAGACCAAATTGATCACCCTAAGTAAGTGGGATTCATCCCCACTGCAAGACAGCGCTTTTTGGAAGCATTTTTTTAAAACAATGCTAGCCTAATCTGAAACATATTGAAAATTTTCTTCACAGGTTCTGCCAAATTATCAGCACTACCAGCAGCCAAATATAAACATCTTAAAAATAAAATTAAAAACTATTTTATTTATCTTTAATATCTAAATTTAGATGTATTTGCTAAGTAAAAACAAAAAGTTATGTTTCTCCTTCCTCATCGTTGGCTTTGTTGCAACAAAAATAATATACTCCATTGGAAGTGCCCCCCCCTTTCACCACAGGGAGTGCCACCACCCTGTTACCCCCCCACACACACACACACTTGCATGCCTCTGACAGGGACACAATAAGAGGGCACCCAGTGCAGTTCAAACTCATCATAGTAGCAAAGAACAGACATAGTTTGCAAGACTGGCTATATATAAGGAGCCCATGTTGTAACCACATTAGACATACCAATTCGTTCATTGCTCAGTCACTAAGACTACTTTCAAAATCTACCACAATTCTAACTGTAGGAGTCATAACGTAATTTACTTATTAGAATGCACACTATGCCAGAAACAATATGTAGGAAAATCTGAATGGCCCTTTCACTACAGAATTAACAATTATTGGAATCAGGTTAAGTCGGGTCCCCACAAAAGTTGACAACATTTCTAATCTAGAAAAACATGATTTCAATAGCCATGCAAAATTCACTATTATTGAAAGAATAGAAATAGACATCAAGGATAAAGTTAGAAAAATATTAGAAGAACATGATGGCAAATGGATTTTGTGCCTCAAAACACTTTGTCCAGACGAATTCAACAAACTAAACAGCACAGATAGAATTAATATATAACCCTATAGATGACTCTCCCATATTTCTCTTACACATTATAATCTCTGTATAGTTAAATATACTCCGTTGCTACATAGTAGAGGACGCCACCCATAAAGAGTCCAAGCTGACTCCCCTAACCCCTCTTACCCTCATCCAAACTAGACAGAGGGGATGAGGTCTCCTACAAATATATACACATACACACAACACACATTCCAAAAAAAAAAAAGAAAAAGAAAAAGAAAAAAAAAAAGATAACATACACATAACATACACATCCACTTCCCAGCAACCAATAACAGTGTTAAAATGACTAAAGAAGTAAATCTGAGAGCCACAAATCTTCCAGCCTTTTCCTTAAAAGAATTTGAAAATGGCCAATACAAGGACTGACGAAAAATTAACGATAAAATCAAACAAATGAAAACTACAGGCAACATTCACCTTCTGAGACAGTCATTCACATCTGTAGTTCACTGCTACTAACAAGCAGGATTTTTTTTCTCTTGATAATTGCCGAAACTAGCTAAGGAACTTAATTTAAAATTGAAACAAAAATATTAATATACAACCTAGTGTGTCTGAAATTTTAATTTTTAATATTTTTTATCATTCAAGACTTGTGTGTGTGTGTGGATATATATATATATATATATATATATATATATATATATATATATAAAATGATCCGTAAAAAAAAAAAAAAAAAAAAAAAAAAAAGAAGAAGATGCTCCTTGTAGAATTCCAGAAAGTACCCGACTCCTCCTGCTATGTCCTATCTTTACAAGAGTCAGATCAGACCAAAAATAGAGCATAACTGCGATATCTGGGCTGGAGCTACCCAATCTTCAATTTCCAGCCTTGACAGAGTTAAAAATTGTTTACACAGCCTTGTGGGGGATGATTTAATTTCCTCCTTATAGCCTATTGCAACTATCATTGTTTCCATGGTAAATGTTTGGACAAGTCAGGGACTCCATTCATTAGTTCCACCAATTCAGGCCTTTGCAGCAAAGACCTGCCACAGGATCAAATCACACCTCATTCACTTCATATTCTGTTTGTAAGAAGGAAGTTCTACTCAGCCTCTTCCCAAGAACCGCTACATTGTTGAACAAACTCCCAAGAGAATGCTCCATGATCACTACAATCTTAACATCTTTTAATCTATCCACTATACCCTCATAATCTTCACCATCTCCTCTTACATTTATATCACATGCCTCAATCATTAACCCTCTACTTTGAGTGGCTCTTGAACCTTGTATTGAGTGAACTTTAGTAAAAAAAAAAAAAAAGTTTGAATTATATTCTGAGACATTCACTTGATGCTAATGCTTATGAAAAAGGCATGTATCTGTCTTGTCTCCCTCAGCTATGGGTTAAACAGCAAGGGAATTCATAATCTCTATCATTGTGGTTGTATAAAGAAAACTGAATACCAAATTGGGTAGAAGCTAATAGAAAATCAGTTCATTATCTTTCCCAGGAAGTAAAGGCAATTTACAGATAATAAAGAAAGCTGTGGAGAACTATGACCTCCCTCATTTTGAAGAGATATGCCATTTAAAAAAAAAAAAAAAAAAAAAAGCAATGATCACTTTATGAATGGTATACAAAAAAACAGGTGAGAAACAAAATTTACCTGTTTCACAAGATGGCGTGATTTCCGCTGAAGTTTTGAATACTTATTTCCTGGCATTGCTTTGTTGCTTAAAGGCCGTTTCCATCTATTGTCATCTGCTGAGGTAAGCACCAAAGAATACACAATCAATCAAAAAAATATGCAAATCAATAACACAGAATCAATATCTGTAATCAAAGGTAACAATAAATTCAACACAAAAGGAGTCACACCTAAAAAAAACCCCCAAAAAACCCGTAACTGCCTGAATTTCAGTTGAAATTCATAAAATCTTTCTCTTAAAACAATTTCTTAAGAATATAGATATCTCAAGTCCAGTAGCTGTTATTGATTTTTCGAGTATTGAAGAGGGTTTCCTTCCTAACCTTTTATTTGAAGTCATGTCAACATCTTGATTATGCCATTATTTTCTCATAAAGTTACATGTGCTATTCATTTTAGTTATTACTATTGTTGGTAATCCTCAAGTGAAGTGATTTCTATTATTTGGCTTGGTTTAGCTTCATTTATTTCGCTTTATGGCATATCAACACGTCAATGGGTTATTTAATGCCAACAAGATTTTTAGAATAGTGTTCTTTGTAAGAAATCTGTTTGTAGATCAAGTTTCACCGACATGTTTTTGTTGAGAGTCAAAATTTTAATGTATTGCTGGTATTTTTACTATAAAAATCTATTTTTATACTTTCATAGTGTTTTGACTCCAGTTTGGGAGCCATAGATTGGATCCTAACAGGTGCTACCACCCATGATCAGGGTGAACCTGGGAACAATAGCAGTTAAAAGGTGGTTCCATACTCCTCAAAACCTCCTGACCAGAGGCCTAACTACCAAATGTAGTTTATCGTTATATCCAGGATGTCTATTATTTGGTACAGTTCTTTGTTTGTGATTCTGTACCGCCAGTCCACAAGGTTCAAAGAAGGATGATCTTTGCCAAAACCCCTCAGGCTTTACTTGCTAAAAGCCTTCTTAGGAAGCAAGTGGATACAGCTGAAAGTTTAGATATTTCTGGTTTGGTTTGTGGCATATCAACCTCAATGTGTTATGTAATGCTGACAAAATTTTTATTGCTAGTAATATTTTTTTCTAAAATGTATAGCTGGTAATAAGTTTTGTTTTCAAAAATGTATTGCTGGTAATAATTTTTTTTACAAAGTATTTCTTGTATTAAAACCTATCTTTACATTTTCATAGTGTTTTAACCCCAGTTTGGGGGTTAACTATTTGCCTATATCTGGGACCCTAACAGGGTGGATCTGAGAACACCAGCAATTAAAAGGTGATTCCACGCTCCTCAAAACTTCCTGATCAGAGGCTTTGCTGTTGGATGCAGTTTATTGTCTTACCCAGGACGCTGATGGAGTTTATCGTCATACCCGGGACAGAGATATTTCTAAACAGGTTTGGCATCATGCATGACACCCATATGAAAGTCTCGATCTGATAAATCTATTTAATCATTACCACACTAATTTCTTTCTAGAATTGTTCCCCCTGCCACTGCATTTTTTATTATGAGGGTGCAAAAACATGAACATCTAGTGTTTTTAAAATTGTTATAACTTTCTTTGTATTGTGTGTATAGATTTTATTTTTTGTAAAAAAAGAATGGATGAATAATATTTTGATGTAATGCACTGTGTTTTGCATGCATGTTTTGACATTGAAAACAAAACAATTGAAGTGTAAAATAAAAAATGAAAAATAAAAACAAATACATTAAAAAATACATAAATAATTCCATGTACTTTAACTTTTATGACTCCTTGTGGAGTTCTAGAGGGGCAAGAAGAAGCAAAATCGCTAAGGCAGCTTTTATTTTGTCAAAAAAGTGACGTGTTTCCTTGTGTTTACATATGAGAAGACACTAGCATTTGTTTGCTCTTTCTTTCACCTGACTCATATTTATTTATCTCATTGACGCATAAAGTTATTTCATCGTTTATAAATAAACAAAATAATTCACCTTCAGAAAGGCTATCAGCTATAATGATGGTTGCCAGTAGCTTCCATAAAATTAGTCTGATTAGATTGGCAACATGATTTAATCATTTTATAATTGAAATGGTTAGATGGAACCGTAAGTTCTATGCTAATAGTTTCTTCTATCGCACTTCTCACCTGTGGATCTCTCTTCCATCTTCTTGCTTCCCAGTCAACTTCAAAAATCTTTAAAAATTTAAATACAATGTCAATCATTATCTTCTGTCTTCTTAATTCCAGTTCTTTTATTGTCCTCTCTCTCCTTAATAGTAGTTTTTCTCATATTCTCTAACACTCAGTAACCCCTTGCGTCCTAGTGGCTTTATTACCTTTGATCTTCAAACATTTAAATGCAATGTCAATCGTTATCTCCTGTCTTCTTAATTCTTCTTCTTTTATTGTCCTCTCTCCTTAATAGTAGTTTTTCTCATATTCTCTAACACTCAGTAACCCCTTGCGTCCTAGTGGCTTTATTGCCTTTGATCTTCAAACATTTAAATGCAATGTCAATCGTTATCTTCTGTCTTCTTAATTCCTGTTTTTTTTATTGTCCTCTCTCCTTAATAGTAGTTTTTCTCATATTCTCTAACACTCAGTAACTCCTTGCATCCTAGTGGCTTTATTGCCTTTGATCTTCAAACATTTAAATGCAATGTCAATCGTTATCTTCTGTCTTCTTAATTCTTCTTCTTTTATTGTCCTCTCTCCTTAATAGTAGTTTTTCTCATATTCTCTAACACTCAGTAACCCCCTGCATCCTAGTGGCTTTATTGCCTTGCTTGGGGTGAAATGATTATATTAAAAAAAAAAGAAAAAGACAACTGTTTGTCATTACTGTTATTGATTGAGTCTGAGTTGAAGATGAAACAAATATCAGTATCTATACTGATGATAAAATTTACTCCTGTTGTGCTAGGCAGTTTTTCTCTCCGGGATCTATCTTACAAATTTATAAGTCTACCATTTGTCCTTGTATTGAATATTACTACCACATCTGGTCTAATACTCCTGCTGTACATCCAGAAATTCTTCATAAAATCCAAAGAAAAATCTGCAGTGTTATTGGTCCTGACCTGGCATCTCAGCTTCAGTTACTTTCCCCACTGCCATAATGTAATTTCCCTGTGCCTTTTCTATAAATACTTTTACCGTAATTGTTCTAATGAGCTCTTCACTATGGTACCAAGACTTTATGAATTTAAGTGCAATACGTTTCATAATTTTACAGTTGAAACAGCTAGATGCAACCATAAGTTCTAAGCTAATAGTTTCTTCTATCGCACTTCTCACTGGTGGAACTCTCTTCTGGCTTCTTGCTTCCCAGTCAACTTTGCTTCAAAAATTTAAATGTAATTTCAATCGTTATCTTTTATCTCCTTGATTCTTGTTCTTTTATTGTCCTCTCTCCTTAATAGTAGTTTTTCTCATATTCTCTAACACTCAGTAACCCCTTGCGTCCTAGTGGCTTTATTGCCTTTGATCTTCAAACATTTAAATGCAATGTCAATTGTTATCTTCTGTCTTAATTCCTTGCTCCTTAATGTTATTTTTTCTTATATTCTTTCACATTCAATAACCCTTTGCATCATGCCAGTACAATCTGTACCACAGCCCTAGCCTTTGCTACACCACAACAGAATATGCCTCACCAGTGTGAAAAAAAAAAAAAAAAATCAACCCTTCCCTAAATGCCTCTTCCAGATTGGTCACTGGGTGTCTCAAACCAACCAAAGTAGATGACCTAATTGCTTAGTGGCATTGATCCCCCTTACATAAGAAAAACAGTCCATTCCAATCTCGAGAAGTTGAAGTAGGAAATTGACCCTCGTCATCTACTCCACACCTGTGGACCAATGACAAAGAGGTTCTAGTCATGACACAGCTTTCTACATTCAGTTGAGACACTGAACAACAGAGCTCCAAGTCAGTTTCTGTCCCTATGGTACAGCCATCTTAACAACGTGGGACACAGGTGCACTCTCAGCCCTACAAGAACTCCACCCCTGGCTACAGTGATACCTAGGCCTTCTGGTCCCGTCTCCCAACATCTGTTGCTGTAAAACTAAGCTTCAGAAATGGGTATATGCCATTGATGTTGATCGCAACTGCCAATGAGGACAATCTAGTTTGCTCCAATCTTGAAGATTCATGCACACTTAACAATCTTGAAACCTTAACACTCCAGGCAAGACTGTGTGTGCAACATTGGAGGAGTGTGGTGTAATAACTTGATAAAAAAAAAAAACCCTCTTTGCATCTTAGTGACTTTATTGCTTTGCCTGGGGTGAAATGATGAAAAAAAAGAAAAAGAAAAAAAAAAAAAGAAAAGAAAAGAAAACAGAAAGAAACTGAAAATCCTAAAAACATGACAAACCTTTGACAAAATCCTCCTGAGAATCATCGTCTTCTACCAGAAAGCTGATCTTTTTAAACTGCGAATGACTTTCTTTCTTCTTCCCCAACTAAAGAAAAAAAAGAAAAAAAAAGAAAAGAAAAAAAGAAATTCACAAGCAACATTCAAACCTGAGAACAACAATTATCAAAACAAATTTGCTCAGCTTTCACTAAAGATCTTCAGTTGGTCCAGGAATGATGCTTCCATCAAAATTGTTACTTCCAGGAATTTAAGAAAATAGTTCCATTTTGTCTTTATAACAACTAGAATATCTTTGCAATGTGTCAACATGTTGAAATCCTTACAGTATTGTTGAAGTTATCACTAACATTTTTTTGTCAAGATTTACAAACTCTACATTTCATTCAATTTCGCAATCCAATTGATTAAATTTGAATAAACAGATTTGTTTGAAAAAATACTTTGACAAAAACCCTGTTTCGCAGTTTAATAATTTCTTTAATTTTATTGAACTTCATTGTAAACAATATAAGAAAATTCTTTTTTTCCTTTTTAACAGCAAAGAATAAATTCTTAGGATTTCTTATTCTTGAGCATGCAACATACAACTGGCCAAGCATAAATATTTCTTTCTGGAGCCAAATTCTAACGTTTTGAAGTATTTGGGCGTGTCATTTTTTTTAATAGTTCTCACAAATGCTGGGTGAACTGAAAACTAGATTCTTGCAAGAAACAATATTGCATTTTTGTTAAGCATTTGTTATTTTAATCATTGTTTTTAAAATATTGTGAGCATTTTGTATGTTAAATATTAAAACTTAATTTTTCAAAAAATATTAATGAAAATTTATTGTACTAAGTTGCCTAGTAAAACCAACTGTACTTTGTACCCTTTTACCTGTTTGCACTTCTCCCCACATGTTGGTTTCGATTCAGTCAATATATGACTATATTAGAAAGTGTGATGGACTGACAGACTAAAGAAAGTCACAGGATATATATAGATTGAAGTCACAGAATATATATATATATATATATATATATATATATACTTATATATATATATATATATATATATATATAGGTAACTTTAAGAATAAGTGGTATAATCCTAAGTCATCTTTTAAGCTAGAAAGTCTTAGGAATTCTACTAGACTAACTAATGTGTGGAAAATAAAGGAAAAAAACAAAAAAGATCCGACTGTAACCTGGAAAGTTTTAAAAAAGCCAAACTAAAAATAATTAAATGTTATATTATTTTTCCTAAGCTGGCATTACGCAAGACTAAAAAAGAGAAAGTAAATGAGTGACTTTTAATAAAAACATTTAACATTTTATATTCTTCAATTTAAGTGTCTGTTTTGAGATAGAAATCCTTCAGAATGGGTTGAAAATAAATGAAAGAATTGTTTCTCTTCTCCAGTCTCAAGCAACGCCAAGCAATATAAGTGAAATGCATAATCAAATAATATTTTCAAAAGATACTTTCATGAATGTTCTTACAAATATCAATAACTTATAACTCTGCCAGGCTTACATACATATATATATATATATATATATATATATATATATATATATATATATATATATATATTTATTAAAGACATTTTTTTTATGTTTAACGTTGTTATTTTTATAGATACAAGTATTTAAGCAAATGCTCTGTTTATGATAAACAGTATTAAATAACATTTATCGGCCTGAATGTCCGAGAAATTGTCATAGAAAAATTTACTTTCTTTGACAAACTTCAACCTGCATCCCTCTGGAACCGTCATATCGCTTGCGTGCCTTACCTCTAAAACAAATGACGCCAATATTAAGAACAAGGTCTTTAATAAATAAATTGTCGGACCTTGTCCATTTCTTAAACTATGACAATTTTCCATGAATCTTATGAATGTACATTCATAAGATTTGAGTTTATAAGTAAATTCTCACTCTAATCTAAGCGTGTCGAATGTAAACAAATGACGTCATATATTCTAAAAAGAACTGTCTTTAAAAATAAATAAATTTATTTAACCTTGTTTATCATAAATAGCGTCATTTGTTTAAATATTGTATCTATAAAATAAATAACGTTAAACATAAAAAATGTCTTTAATAAATAAATTGTCGGACCTTGTCCATTTCTTAATATATATATATATATATATATATATATATATACACACACATACATACATACATACATACACACACACACACACACACACACACACATATATATATATATATATATATATATATAATAGTTGGTTGTTCGTATCCGAGGATACCCATCTATTAGGGTGACTAGGCAATCCCTATTGCAGACACTCGCTCAGGCACATTTGTGTTTGTTCAACACCCACAGAGCTAACCTTAGGTTTATACTGCAACAATGCTGAGCAGACCTTAGTTACAATTTCTGGGAGAGAGCGGGTTATCTAGCATGGAAAACAGCTTGAACAAGGCCAGTACACTTAAACCCTCGGTCACAATGAATTGTGACTTCATGCTAGCACAGCTATTGACGGCACCCAAGGGTTCTGTCTACACAATTTCACTCACAAGCCTCGAGTCAATCCATGGTATGGTTTTCAGGCACTTTCCAAAATTTACTTTGTGACAAATCAATTGTGGTGAGATTCGAACCCGGGTCTCATTGCCAGAAAGTGAATGTTCTAACCACTTGGTCACATGCCCCCCATATATATATATATATATATATATATATATATATATATATATATATAAAACAGAATGTGTGTGTGTGTGTGTGTAACGAATGCAGGGTCACAATTTTCGGACGGATTTGCACCAAAATTTACATGCACATGCTCCAAGTTAGCGGGAAAGGTCAAGACCGGCTTTGCATTTCCCAACTTCCATCGATAGTGGAAATAATCAATTTTTTCATGCTTCTACGGCAGTTTTCATGTAGTTTGCAGCCATTTTGTACTGGCCAGAGTGAGAGCCAATAGCTGGCTGCCACAAATGTTAACTAGCATGCAAAAAAAAAAAAAAAAAATCGATAGCTGCAACTGGGTTGGGTCTTGAAAAAAGTATTTGTTGTTAACATTCTTTTTTCATTCGTTTTTTCATTACGAGTCCTTTTTAAAGCTGATCGTTTTGTGTTCATTTTGTTTAGTTCTTTTTTCGTAACAGATTTAATGTTTAGTATAGAGCTTAGAAAAAATTTGCAGTGTGAGATAGGCAAGAAGTAAGGCATGTAGCAACATCAGCACTGCAAAGGGCACTCCTTTAAAGGCAAGGAAGGACAAAAATATTTTAAGTCAAGTGATAGCGATTGCTGTATGAGTCATACGATTTTTGAATCAAGCACGGGCAATAGATATATATATATATATATATATATATATAGAATATATACTTGACAGTGTGCATCAAAAACACTAAATACTTACTGTTTTATGATTGCCATTGTAATTGTCTTGTACTTTCTTTCTAACTCCATCTTCACCTGCAAAGAGCAAAATAAAAATCAATTTTATTTTTTTAAATAAAAAATTAACTGCTTATGTCTGAAGACATTACATAATGAGTGTATATAGGCAGTATTTGCTAAATATAATCTAATCATACTCAATAAATTGGAAACAAAGATTACAAATGTTGGAGGCTATACCTGTTAAGTCAAAACAACCAACAATAAAAAGAAAACTTAAACCTCAATCATGATGACTTGTGATTTCATAGATTCAAACAGTTCTGTCTACCCAGTTTCATTCACAAGACTTGGGACAATCTGTGGTATGATTTTCAAGCACTTCTCAATAATGCTACACACTGGGATTGTCTGTGATATGCCTACATATGATAATTCACTTTTTTTTCTTCTTTCTTCTCCACTCTGATTTACAATCTGTCGTCTTTTTTCCTTTACCTGTCTAAAGACTTATTTAAGAGTTCAAATTGTCTGGTCTCTTGACTTAGTACACTTGAACCTATGTAACTTAATAAAGATGATTTTAAACAAAACCCTATCCCTGTTTTCCATTGCAACTTTAGATCATTCTATGGTCCTCCCCTCCCACCCCTCTGTCATCTTACATCAATCTAAAACTATCCCTCAAAAATTGTATTAAAAATAAAAGAAACCAAACCTGATGAACCAGGAAAAATAAATTTTCTGAGGAAGTAAACTATAGTCATGAAACCTTAAGGTTGTCTCTTTTTTTAATTTAATTAATTTTTGCTTTGAGCTCTCTGGATCACATCCTCTTTGGAATTATCCATATAGATTACCAAACTATATATATATATATATAAAATGTATATGATAAAATATATTTTTAAGGTATGTTATATTTATGGGTTAAAAGATCAAACTCAGGGACATATGTAAATATAAAGTGGACATTGAAGTCAACATCTAGGGCGACAGTCTGTTTATAAATACAATCATCTAGTCTGACAATTGCATTTATATAAACAGACTATATATATATCAAAAATATATATATATATATAATATATATATATACATACATCAAAATCACCTTATTAAGCATTTTTGACCAATGAAAAAATAAAATTTGTCAGTACTTATTCAAACCTGGTATAGACTGAGTTCATGTCGGAATTAGAAATTTAACTGTGAAAGATACAAAAAAAAAAAAAAAAATGTTGAAAACTTATACAGAATTTATCCATTTCAATGTTTCAGCCAGACGAAACGGCACGAAAAAGTGGTCAAAGAAGGGTGGAAGGTATTAGTCTTAAAGGGAAGAGGTTTTGTAAAATTAAACTGGGATATTAAACTTATGACATTAAATTGGGATTATATGAAGAATGAAATGTTAACTTGAAACTAAGACAAAAATAAAAATATCATTTTGTTGGCTTTTTATTCTTTGAATTTTATTGTTAATTTATATATATATATATATATATATATATTAGGAGATCTGCCATTCACACTATCTTGGTTTCAATGTTTCAGTATTCTCATGCAATTTGAATGATTTCCTAATGCTTTGGCCCAAATCCCCCAAGGATACTGAAAGTTAGTGTGATTGGCTGACCTCATGATTTTTTTAAATTTTAAAAGCTCTGCATATCAAACTTTAATTTTCTTTAGACATGTATTGAGCACTTCTTAATGCAACAATTTCCTGGTCTAATTCAACTCTGGCCAATAACTGTTTCATAATTTTATATATATATATATATATATATATATATATATAAAATAATCACCAAACTAGGACCTTCATACCAACAAAAAAAAAAAAATAAGGGGTCAAAAGGGTGGATTTTCCATTAACATCACTATTATTTTAACTACTATCACTTCACAGTAATTGTGTCAAACCACATTTCTGCTGCTTCAAGTCCCTTCATCTGTGAGGAGATCGTCAATTCACTGTCATAAATAACTAAAAACAGTTTAGTACTCTTTTCTTTGTTTCTAATGAAATTTTACTGTTTCTTAATATTTTGTAGCCTGGTCTTTCCACTATTCAATTCATTTTGATTTCAATGTCACACTTTTCAATTCTGTTAAAACACTTTAAGATGTTTAAATTGTTGAAAGATTTTGGTATCAAAAAAAAAAAAAAATGTTTCTTCTTGCTTTCCTTCAACTTCTACAAAATTTTTGTATTTTTCTTTCTGTGTCTGTTACCAAAACTGTGTCATTTGCATATCTTATGCTGTTAAGATTGTGACCATCAATAATGAATCGTTGTAGGACTTCTAGTTCTCTCAAGATAAACCTCACTGTATATGTTGAATAAATAAAATTATTTTACAGATTGTGACAGCTATTAGGGAGATGTGATTAAATATACTTTAATGTTTTAAAAAAAAAAAAATTCAGTATTATTATTGTTTCGGTAATAAGCATTATAAAATAGCACAAATAGCTATATTGTGAAATTTTTGACAATATACGCATTTTTTACGTATACATGGTTATTTTTTTTTTTTTTAACTTTATCAAAAACAAATTGGGATTATCATACACTAGAAGAATGAAATGGTAATGTAACAGTATGAATACTAAGACAAAAAGACTAAAAAAAAATTGACAAAGATTATTTGTTTGGCGGATCGGTCTTTTAGTTTTTTTTTTTTAATTTTATTTGTTTTTCAATTTATATATATTTTATATAAACAATTGTCTTGTAAATGAAATTTTAAAAGCATTCTGAATGTAAAAATAAAAGAAAAAAAGTGCAAGACAATAAAAACACTACCTACAAAAAAAAAAAAAAGTTTTGTTGAAATCAGTTGAAAAATGCATTCACACTATCACACAAACAACCTTTTTTTAATGTTTCAGTATTCTCATGTGTTTTCAAATTTTTCGAATTGTGTTTTTTCAATTTTAATGCAGAACCACATTTGTTCTGTGAAGCCCAAATCCCCAAGGATAACTGAAAATAAGTATGATATATATTTCTATAGAAAATGGTACCATGGACTTTACCTGGGGGAGGCATTTAACCACTTTTTTTTGGCTCCTAAATTTTCAAAATGTGATGTCACTAAGCTGCTGTTGTTGTATATTCAAAGTTACTTAATTTTCTTTCAGACATGTATTGTATCCATGTTTTTTTTCTTAAACAGTTTGCAAAGTCAAATTTCCCCTGGTCTAATTTAATTTTTGCTGATTGGTCAAATATTTTACTTGTTTAATTTCTAGCCAATAGACACTTTGATTTAAATGGTGTGTGTTGTATATTTTTGTAAATATATATATATATAATATGGCATATTAATAATCAAAAAATCACCAAACAAACTCTAGTTCATGATGGACCAAATTTCAAATGATGCTGGGTAACACAAAAAAAAAAAACTTCTTTAAGTCAACATACCAAGCTACCTTTCAACATCCTGACTATTATGGGTGATGGTAGACACTTTTTTCTTCATAACCAGATATTCCAGGGTTTGCCTCTGTTCTGGCAGGGCATTAATGTGTTGTTTTCTGCAGATACAGAATGCTATTTATCTTTTGAACAACCAAAGCAAGTACTGTTAGCAGCAGCAGTTGACAGTGTTGGAATTAGGATTTATTTCCTATATTATAATTCAAAAAAAATGATTAACCTTAATAAATTAATACTGCCTCTGCCTTATAGTAGCAGTAACAAAATGTCCTTCATCTCGAATATAAAAGCATGTGAACCCTATCTCTCTTTCTTCCAGGTTCTTTCTTTTAAACTGCATCTTTCTATACTGAAACTAAAGGGCTCTGAATATTTACACTAAAACACACCAACAAAAGTAAGTTCCTATAACATATTAATGAACATTTTTGTTGTGTATGTTTTAACAAAAAAAACTCGTTTTAAACTTTTTTTTTAATTTTTAAATTTTATCTTTGCATTGCTCAATTGTTTATTTTGTGCAATCTTTTTACACCACCATTTTTCTTATAAAATGTTTCTGGAAACCTTATGCTTTTAATTATTGGAAGTAGCTAATCACTTCTCTAAACAATTCCAAAATGCATACCAGAGATAAAAATTAAATTTGCCATATCAATATTCTCTTTCTATTTTTTGATTAAATAAATTAAAAAAAAAACTGTTAAACACTTTCTAATTCACAATGATGTTTTCTAATAAATTGTTGTATTACCACTTTTTGGGTGGCATTTGTTATTTTGGAGGGGCTCTTGCCTGGGCCTTCATCACAATAGGTAATTGTGATAGGCAACAATAAACTTCAGTAACTGATCACTGCATTTAAGTATTATATTAATATCTAAACTTTTTTAAAAGTTCTTGATTTCTTCTGCTGTGTTAATTTAAAGACATTTTGATGTATGTAGGTCCTTACTTTCCATACGAACAATTATTTTTATTTCATGGGTGACTTTCATTGGATTCATTCATTACAATTCATTTTGGATTATTCCAAAATTCATTTCCAAGTTTTGTTATTTGTACCAAAAATTTTATGTAAAAAATCACATAAAAATTGCCAAAAACAATTGCAGTAATGAAAATTTGATTTTTTTGGATTGGGCACAAAATTGGTATGATATGTTGGGCTATAAACCTGGAGTAAAAAAAGTTGAAAAAGTGTGACAAACATTCACATTTATTTAGATTTAAATTATAATTTTACATACAAACTATTATCCACATCTTTATTTTTATTTACCATAACGTTTTATGTGTTCTTTCATCAGGTGATTAGATAACCATCAATGAATTTTGAACTCTACTGGTTTCGTTCACTGTTCATTTGAAAAACAGTCATTTTTTACATTTCACCAGTGACAAAAACAAATTCTCCCCATGAATGCCGTGATTTCAAGAATCTTTTGAAAAAAAAAAAACAAAAAAAAACAAACCTCATTTGTTAACTGGAGCTTGATTGTGCTTTCTTAGGATTTTCTTCAAATCAAAAGGGGAAGAAAGGATTGATTTCAATTTCATTTTGGAGTATTTTTTTTAGTTTTACGTAAAATTGCTTCAGGTCTCAGAGTTAATTATTTTATTTTCTCAAAAAAAATTATTCACAGGATTTTTTCGATTTATTTATTTTTTAATTTGGGGCATATTCTATCATGTTATTTTGCTAAATTATCCTATCAAATTTATTATTTGAAAACAAATGTGGATATTAAATATTCAGCTTTTGCAATAAAAAAAAACATAAGGAAAAGTTTATTTTATTTTAATTTTCTTGCTTGTAATTTCAATTTTAAAATTTTCAGTATAGAAATATTAATTTTATGAAAAAAGATTTATATTCCCGATAGCATGATTGAAAAAAAAAAAAATTAAATCAATGTTTATTTATGTATAAAATGAACAACTAAATTTTGACGTTACTATTTATTTTTCTTTTCTTGTTAATCAATTTTTAATTTTATTTTTATCTGCATTATAAAAATAAATTGGACAAAAAAACTTAGCATTTCAATAAGAATTATTAATGTATTTTAAAAAATTTTTTGAGAAAAACTGTAAATTTTCCAACTGAACAAATAAAAACTATTTTTCTTTTTAGTGATTTTCTAAATTTTTGTTTTAGAATCCTGTAGAAGACAGTGTTTTCATTCATAATAAAGAAAAAAAAGATTTTTATTTTACAAAATATCAAAATTTTGTTTTCATTATTTTCCTAATTAAACATTTTTTAAAAAAAAAAAAAAAGATCAAAAAAAAATTCTTGTACATATAATATGGATAATTTTGTGTTTCTGGGTTTTGGACTCCAGATTTGAATGGCAGTAGTTATGTCCCAGCGGACATTTTTACGGAAATATGAAGATTTGGGTTTTTCCCAAATTGGGACTGTAACAGTCTATTTTTTATATCTGACTAGATAGATCCCGGCGTTGCCTGGGGATGTAAAAGTAAGAGATAGATCATATCATAAAAGACTGAAAAATAAAATTGACAAAGATTATTGTTTAAGGTAGACAGACACGCATGTCTTAATTAGTTTTTTTTTTTTTTAACGAATTGGTCAAACCCAAACTCAAACAAAAACATTGTTTTCAATCGTTATGAGTCTATCGATTGAATAGAATTTTATTATAAACAATTGTCTTGTAAACGGAATTTTTAAATCATTCTGAATGTAAAAAGTGTACAAGACAATAAGAAACACTACCTGCCAAACAAAAAGAAAAAAAAAGAAGGGAAGTTTTGTTGAAATCGGTTGAAAAATGTAGGAAATCTGATCCCATATATAAATGAACACACAAACACAAACAACCTGGGTTTTATAATAAATATAACTCGATACGAGTTGTCCCCCTTTCATTCTGTGAAAGCGATACCTCTTAATCGTGTTTTCAAATTGATTTCATGCAAAAACAATTGTATTTTTCCAATTTTTGACGCTGTCAGAACCACTGCAAAGTAATTTTACGTAGTCCTGTGAAGTTTTGTTGAAATCGGTTGAAAAATGTAGGAAATCCGATCCAATATATAAACATACAGACACACACACACACACAATCTGCATTTTATAAGTAAGATTAATTATTACTATTTTTTTAATTACTATTTGTGCTCAGTTGTTGACATTAATAGCTATCTGCTGATGTGTTAAAATTTTGGAATAATGCAATAATAAAAATTTAAATTTCATCTCTCTGATAGATGTCACAATCTGTTAATAGAAATTTATCTCATACAGTGAAAGAGTCAAAATTTAAACCCAGGGGTTTTTAAAGCTGATGATGACACTGTTCTAGCAGTCAAAGAATTCAGTCAAACTAATCAAAGACAAGTAACAACTTACCTTCACTCTGACTTGAAATCAAAGGAGATGTCAACACAGAAGATTTCTTCTTCTTACGAACACAAAAACTATCTTCCCCTTCATCATCCA